CGCAGCAGCACCACAGTGGGCAATGGTGCATTTGCATAGGGAAATGGGGGCACCTGTATTCCATGGCGCAGGGGAACTGGGCTCCACAGGAGCTATCTCTGGGGTAGCCCAGCAGGAGAGATGGACAGACAATGAGACAATGGATAGGTTCACATGTAGATGCTTTTCTTGACCTGCCGCTCACAAACCGGAAAGAATTAGTGGGGGAAGCAAAAGTGCATGGGAATCTGGGAGGCAGTGACCATGAGTTGGTTGAGTTCAGGATCCTGACACAGGGAAGAAAGGTAAGCAGCAGGATACGGACCCTGGACTTCAGGAAAGCAGACTTCGACTCCCTCAGGGAATGGATGGGTAGGATCCCCTGAGGGACTAACATGAAGGGGAAAGGAGTCCAGGAGAGCTGGCTGTATTTCAAGGAATCCCTGTTGAGGTTACAGGGACAAACCATCCCGATGAGTTGAAAGAATAGTAAATATGGCAGGCGACCAGCTTGGCTTAACGGTGAAATCCTAGCGGATCTAAAACATAAAAAAGAAGCTTACAAGAAGTGGAAGGCTGGACATATGACCAGGGAAGAATATAAAAATATTGCTCGGGCATGTAGGAATGAAATCAGGAGGGCCAAATCGCACCTGGAACTGCAGCTAGCAAGAGATGTCAAGAGTAACAAGAAGGGTTTCTTCAGGTATATTGGCAACAAGAAGAAAGCCAAGGAAACTGTGGGCCCCTTACTGAATGAGGGAGGCAACCTAGTGACAGAGGATGTGGAAAAAGCTAATGTACTCAATGCTTTTTTTGCCTCTGTCTTCACAACAAGGTCAGCTCCCAGACTGCTGAGCTGGGCATCACAACATGGGGAGTAGATGGCCAGCCCTCTGTGGAGAAAGAGGTGGTTAGGGACTATTTAGAAAAGCTGGATGTGCACAAGTCCATGGGGCCGGACGAGTTGCATCCGAGAGTGCTAAAGGAATTGGCGGCTGTGATTGCAGAGTCATTGGCCATTATCTTTGAAAACTCGTGGCGAATGGGGGAAGTCCCAGATGACTGGAAAAAGGCTAATGTAGTGCCAATCTTTAAAAAAGGGAAGAAGGAGGATCCTGGGAACTACAGGCCAGTCAGCCTCACCTCAGTCCCCGGAAAAATCATGGAGCAGGTCCTCAAAGAATCAATCCTGAAGCACTTACATGAGAGGAAAGTGATCAGGAACAGTCAGCATGGATTCACCAAGGGAAGGTCATGCCTGACTAATCTAATCGCCTTCTATGATGAGATTACTGGTTCTGCTGATGAAGGGAAAACAGTGGATGTATTGTTTCTTGACTTTAGCAAAGCTTTTGACACGGTCTCCCACAGTATTCTTGTCAGCAAGTTAAAGAAGTATAGGCTGGATGAATGCACTATAAGGTGGGTAGAAAGTTGGCTAGATTGTCGGGCTCAATGGGTAGTGATCAATAGCTCCATGTCTAGTTGGCAGCCAGTGTGAAGTGGAGTGCCCCAGGTGTCGGTCCTGGGGCCGATTTTGTTCAATATCTTCATAAATGATCTGGAGGATGGTGTGGATTGCACCCTCAGCAAATCTGCAGATGATACTAAACTAGGAGGAGTGTTAGATATGCTGGAGGGGAGGGATAGGATACAGAAGGACCTAGACAAATTGGACGATTGGGCCAAAAGAAATCTGATGAGGTTCAATAAGGATAAGTGCAGAGTCCTGCACTTAGGACTGAAGAACCCAATGCACAGCTACAGACTAGGGACCGAATGGCTAGGCAGCAGTTCTGTGGAAAAGGACCTAGGGGTGACAGTGGACGAGAAGCTGGATATGAGTCAAGAGTGTGCCCTTGTTGCCAAGAAGGCCAATGGCATTTTGGGATGTATAAGTAGGGGCATACCGAGCCGATCGAGGGACGTGATCGTTCCCCTCTATTCGACATTGGTGAGGCCTCATCTGGAGTACTGTGTCCAGTTTTGGGCCCCACACTACAAGAAGGATGTGGATAAATTGGAGAGAGTCCAGCGAAGGGCAACAAAAATGATTAGGGCAACAAAAATGATGAGGGGTCTGGAACACATGACTTATGAGGAGAGGCTGAGGCAACTGGGATTGTTTAGTCTGCAGAAGAGAAGAATGAGGGGGGATTTGATAGCTGCTTTCAACTACCTGAGAGGTGGTTCCAGAGAGGATGGTTCTAGACTATTCTCAGTGGTGGAGGAGGACAGGACAAGGAGTAATGGTCTCAAGTTGCAGTGGGGGAGATTTAGGTTGGATATTAGGAAAAACTTTTTCACTAAGAGGGTGGTGAAACACTGGAATGCGTTACCTAGGGAGGTGGTAGAATCTCCTTCCTTAGAAGTTTTTAAGGTCAGGCTTGGCAAAGCCCTGGCTGGGATGATTTAGTCGGGGATTGGTCCTGCTTTGAGCAGGGGGTTGGACTAGATGACCTCCAGAGGTCCCTTCCAACCCTGATAGTCTATGATTCTATGATTCTATGATGCGCTGCACAACCCCCGCCCCCACTGAGAAAGGGTGCCAGAGCTAGTACTGCAGCCCAGGGATCAGCTACCAGAGCAGTGGCTAAACTGATGTTCTGTGTCCTGGGGGGGAGGATTCCATCTCCCTTGCTGGCATGAAAATCCTCAGGTAAAGTCTGCACTTCACACAAGGGTTCAGGATTTAGGCTGTCAAACAAACTCAGCTCGCAGTGTGATCAGTGAATAGAGCATTACAGTGGGACTTGGGAGACCTGAGTTCTGTGGGAAGGTGAGCTTGGATAAGTCACGGCACCTGCCCATGCCTCAGTTTCCCCATCAGTTCAATGGGGCTAATGAGGCTGACCTCCTTTGTAAAGCACTTGTGAGATCTACTGATGAAAAGAGCTACGTATTATTAACTCTTACTCCTGTCCAGTATCCTATACACTAATGGTATATGAAATGACATGGAGACTTTCTTTTAAGAGGGATGAGGAATTTTTTTTAATGTCTCCATTAAGGCTAAAAATTGTAGCACAGGTCAAAGGAAGGCACCAGCTGGGGATGGCAATGGTGCTTTTGGGGGGAGTGTGGGTGGAGAGAGTTGGTTGGCTGGTTTGTTAATTGGATTCTGGCCCATCCAGGGAAACTGAAGAGCTACAAAATCATTTGTATTTTTGAGAAATGCAAGAGCACAGCTCCTCAGCTGGTGCAGATCTACATAGCTCAGTTGATTTCCATGGAGCTGCGCCTGCTTTTATGATATACATTCTGACTTCTTATACTGGCCAGCAGGATGCAGTAGCTGACTGGAAAATCAGGGTTTTACTCCCCACACCCAAGTCATGGGTGGCCTTAGCCAAGGTATGTTGCCTTTGTCTGGTGTATTTATATTGCAAGCACCTTGGGGCTGGCCCTACATGGATGTACAGCACCTGCTACAATGGGGCCCTGATCTTGTTGGGGCCTGTTTCTGCCGCTGTACTAATTAGAAAGGATAAGTAGAGAAAGGATAAGTAGGTCAGCTTCAGTATGGCTTTCCTGGGTATTTTAAATGCTCACTTTGACTAGTTAGGCATGGGTATTGCTTGTGTTAGACTGTCTCTTCCTACCGTTGGGGAAATTATTTGCCTATCTAGGGGGACAGAATAAAGCCTAGGTTGGAGGTTTATTAATAATTAATATCAAAGAATCATAGAATATCTCTAGACTAACGTATCATTAGGGCTGAATGTGCCTTTGACATTATGGTTGCTGTTAGGGGGCTTATTCCTTCACCCACTTACTTCCCTGGTCCTTCTCACATGAACAGAAAGCAACAATACCCAAAGTCCAAAGGTGCAAACAATTCGATGTTTATTGGGGTGAACTTCCAGCAAGCATGATTCCAGTTTCCTTCCTTACACCTTGTGTAAAATTAATATGGTTAATATAATGTTATGGAGGTTAAACTATATGGAAGGAATGTGCATTTTCCCAGGACGTGTGCAGTGTATATTGGAGAAGGGGCAAAAGAAATGCAAATAAAGCATGGTACTTCATTAAAATCCTATTAGGGCTCCAAAAGGTCCAAAAGGTCCACCCATGCCCACAGAGTTTTCATGCACACCCACCAAAATGACAGTCCGATCCCCCAGAGCCACCCTAAGGCTCAGTGTTCCCATCAGTTGCTTAATAGTATAAGAAGAGAGTGCAGCGTTTATGCAGTATTGGTTTCCTTGCCATGCAAAAAAAAAAAATCATTAGAAATAAAGCGAAGGCACTTGGTGGTGCAGGTACTAGATAATTGGACGTAGTGCCTGGAGTGCATTTACACCATGTAATGTTTTTGTCTACTTGCCATATCCCAGAGGCAGCATTGCACCTAAGGAATTATCCAATCAGAGGGACTAAAGGAAGTAAACAAACATCATCAGTGACATGCACAGCTTCTAAAATGATAGTTAATAATCAGCATTTCTCCAAGATCTAACTGCCTACAGAGTCAGTCAAATATATTGTAGTAGTACATAGGAACCTCAGCCATAGCCCAGGAGCCCGGTGTGCGAGGTGTTGGACAAACACAGAACAGTCCCTGCCCCAGAGCGCTGACAATCTAAGCAAGAACTTGATCTCAGAAAGTTCAGATTCACAAAACCCACTGTAGCCATCTCCAAAGAATGTACAATGAAAGACATGGATAAGCAGCAAGGCTGAAGCACTCCTGGAGGTGCTCCTCCCACAACGTGCCCAAAGCTCACTGGCTGGGCTGGGAGGAAGCTGGCACTTGTCCCTTGTTGCACTGTCATCAGTTCAGTGGCTTGCCACAGCACTAAAGTTATGCTAAGAAATGAAACAAAATAAATGAGTTCAAAGGTCAAAGCCATGGAAATACTTGGCCTGCACTGGGTAAAAGTGGCTGTCTGTTTGCAAAGCTCAGAGCTCATCAAACATTAACTATCCCATCCCTGCTGAGGGAGTGAGGAAAATCCCCACTGGGGTCATTTGGAAAGTTTCCCCTGCTCCAGAGCTTCACTGACAGAGGAGCCATTCGCAAGCATAAGACAGGGAAGTGGAATCAATACTGAGGAGGTGCCAGGTAGAAAGGCAGAGCACGTGCCAGCGTAGGATGTCTACAAAACATGGGGAAGCCTCCCAAACAGGTGAGTAAGGAACAGATCCAACCTCCAGGTGAAAGAACACTTAGGACTAGCTGGCAGAAATCCTCCTCCGGTAGGGCTCTGTTCGCAGGGTTAAAAGCAGCAATTCCACAGAGTTAAACTGCCAGTGAACATTCTGGTCAGGGAGCTGGGCCTCATCAATCCCTTTGAACATTAGCCAACCCCCGCTGGTCTCTCGTGGTTCCCTGTCCTTGCTTCTGAGCTGGTGTGGTAGCCAGTCTTAGCTCCTCAAACTGCCAACCACACCCACTGAGCACTAGGAGGAGAGGTCTCTATGTCATAGGCCGCTTGAGCTGTTGTCTTGGGTTCCACATGCAGTTAGCAAGTGGATGGGGGTGAGAACCCCCAGCAGCAGTGCAATGGGATGGGAAGGCTTCAAATACTGTTTCCTGGGGGATGGAGGAGGTGGTCTCCATTGAATAAGGGCCTGAACTGACATACACACACACACATCTGCATACGCACGCACCCATAAAAGAAAAACACTTCACAAGGAAAGCGAGGGGAAAATCTGCAACTGTAAAGGGGTGGGGCCAAATTCTGCTACTATTAAAATCAATAGCAAAGCTCCCACTGATTTCACTGGAGCAAGACCGAGCTGTAGATGTAGGAAGGAATTAACAAGCACCACTTAGATGTTTGGATGCTGGATGTTTGGGGCTATGCTGGGGGTACAGGTGCGCAGAGAGCAGAACTTTAGAGAGGAAGGGTGCTTGGGCTTCAAGCACTAGCCTCAGAGTGCTGGCTCAGTTCAGGGTCTGCCTGGCTTATTAGGTGACCTTTCGCAAGTCACTCGCTCTCTATAGCTTCCCATCCATACAACAGCAATAATGCGCCTCCCTCCCCTGCCGTCCCCCCCACCCCTGTGCCTTTCTGGTCTATGGAGATGGTAAGTTGTGGGGACAGGGACAGTCTCTGACTCTGTATATGTTCCGGGCCTAGCTCCATGAGATCTCCAGCTCATGTTGGACCTCTGGGCTCTGATCTGACAATAAAGACCATAAGCAGGCAGAGGAGGGAATCGAATTGTGTTTTATCAAGATGCCCTCACAAAATGGCTTACTTTGGGAGCAGCTCCCTTCTCTCCAGCCTGCTCACAACAACAATATTCCACTGTCAATTTACTTCTCTTAAACACCAAAGAGTCCAACTGCTTGGTCTTCTCCTTAACTACACTATGTCCTTGGATTCTAAGGGTGCTCCCTTTCTCTTACCCATCCTACTAAGGGGCAGCCAGAGTGGAGGTGGGGTCAGAGGTCACGGCTGTGAGAAGTAACAGGGTTGTGCTGGATAATACCATCTGCCCGGCTGAAATCATCATCTGCAACGACAAGATAACTGACATTCTGCCCAAGAGGAGCCAGGCTCTTGTCAGCGGAGAGAAGGCAAGTTTGGGCCAAAGTGCTAGATGAACTGGTATTGAGGAAACAACCCTGGGGGAAGGCTGTGCTGGGTTTGCATGACCAGCTATACCAATAATAATAATAATACCTAGCTCAGGGGTGACCAGCCTGTGGCTCCGGAGCCACATGTGACTCTTCAGAAGTTAATATGCGGCTCCTTTTATAGGCACTGACTCCGGGGGTGGAGCTACAGGCACTAACTTTCCAACGTGCTGGGGGGTGCTCACTGCTCAACCCCTGGCTCTGCCACAGGCCCTGCCCCCACTCCACCTCTTTCTGCCCCTCCCTGAGCCTGCCATGCCCTCGTACCTCCCCGAGCCTCCTGCATGCCATGAAACAGCTGATCGGGAGGTGCGGGGAGGGATGGGGAGGCATTGATCGGCGGGGCTGCCAGTGGGTAGGAGGCGCTGGAAGCGGGGCAGGGGGAGCTGATGGGGGGCTGCTGACATATTACTGTGGCTCTTTGGCAATGTACATTGGTAAATTCTGGCTCCTTCTCAGGCTCAGGTTGGCCACCCCTGACCTAGCTCTGACCCAACGCTTGCCTGGGGTACCTTCCAGCTAATCGCATGTGCTGCAGAACTTGGTGTGGGGCCATTGTCCTTTTTGCCAAGTTGCTATAGGCTGGGGCACATAACTCTACATCTCTCCCTGTGTTTGTGCTGTGTGATGGGGCTGCCAGCAGGCCTCACTGAAACCCATGGTCCAGGGATATCTAGAGGGGACTCCTTTGCCAAGTGCCAGAGCTCAACGATGGGAGGTCAGAAAGGAGCCCATAGTGTGAAACATTCTGTCACCTCCTATTACTTAGATGGGGCCTGCTTCTCCACTCCCGTGCACCAGCTTTCTGCCATTGAGACTCCACTGACTTCAGGTGGAGAGTGGAGCATTAGATCCTCTGGCTACAATGTCAGAGTGGGATGGAAGCAAACAGCTTATGCCATTAATGTGGGCTCTGCCCCATCTAACAGCAGTGCCCTTGGGGTTGCAATTCCAGCCAGCAGCCCAGTGACCCTTCCCCAAGGACCTGCTGCTGGTGGAGCAGAGATGGTAATTCTGAACTTCTTTTCCTGTTCCCAGTCTTTGTGCAAGCAGCTTACGATTTGCTCAGCCTGGTTAGTTATTCTCACCAGGTCCCTTGCACTGCAGAGAGTTCGCAGGCAGGTCACTGTATCTTCAACTTCATATTAGAAATGTGAGCTGTTTTGATTGGACATGAAGGTCACATGGTATGTTTGGTTCCTGATTGCTGGAGTAACTTATAGAGTTAGGTGTCCAGTATGAATTCTTGCATTTTCAAGTTGAAGATTTGCCTTCTTCAAATAATGGCCCATTGCCCTGTGTGCTCCCTCCAGCCAACTAGCTCCCTGGGGATGCTTCTTGAAAGCAAATCCCGGAAGGCTGTCAGCACAGCCAATGCTAAGTTTTTATTCAGGTGGAAAATGTGACTCACGTGGCTCTGCTGTTGACAGTCAGCTTTTTAAACAAGGGATGGACCACTCCCATCCCTCTGCTTTGTCACAGTACTCCTGACCACTTGATAAGTTATTAAACTACATCTCGGCTCAGGAGAGGAGCAGCAAGGGACCCACAGCTGCAGGTTGTTACAAAGAATGAGGCGTGTTGGCAGAAGTTTGCCAGGCATCTCCTTTCATCAAGCCTAGCTTCAGAAGGGGATCCCATGGTCTACTGCCCACTGCTCAAAGCTAGCAATGGTTTAGCAGGGCTAATCCAGGCCAGAAAGCTGGAAGGGGAGGACAGCTGGCTCTGGCCAGTCTCATATTCATCAGCTCTAGAATTCAAGGACCAGAGGCAGCTTTGCTGATTTGCAGCAGTTAAGAATCTGGTCCCAAATCTACATGTATCAAAGATTAGAGAGACGTTAGAAGGAACAGCTATCAGGGACAGAGTAGTTGCATTTAAAAATTAATACAAAAAATGAAATCTTGAGGCAGATTCTCAGGTGAATCCACAGACTCCAAAGACTTCAGACAGATTTACACCATAAGGGTCTAACCCAGTGGATTATACTGGTGGAAGTGAGATCAGGCCCCTGGAACTTGGCACAAATAATGTAGTGGCAGCCTCTTAAGTACCCATCCCTAACTGTAGGCAAGATGCTGGGCCATTTTATTAGTTCCACATAGATGGCTAGCCTGTGACCTCCGTGACCTGAGAGTAACTCCACTCATTTGAATGGAACTACTCCAGAGTTCAACTGGCATCACTGAGAGTAATCAAGCTGTTCTTTCTTTACCTCAGTGCTGACTCTTACCGTAGTGAGCCAGGGCTTTCAGATACCAGAGTGGCTGGCCAGGACACATTTCCTTTAAAGTTCCCACTAACATTTTTAGTAAATACTCTAGCTGTGCTCCGTTATCACAATTTCAGGTATGTGTAATGGGGGAAAACAGATGCTTACCAGTGTCTGGATAAGGAGAGGGAAGCCAGAAAACTTGATTACTTTGGGCTAGATCCCCAGATGGTGTAAGTTAGTGTAGCACTGTTTAAGTCAATGGGCTATGCCAGTTTACACCAGTGGAGGATCTGGCCCAGAGATTGGCCTGAATCAGAATCATGGGTCTGAAAGAGACACAAAAATCACACCCACACACAGCTATGGTGAAGTTCACAGCATGGGCAAGCCAGCTGGGCCCAGCTCATCAAGATCACCTCTATTCTGTCAGATAAGTGCTAGAGCGTTCAGAGGTGAAATCCTCCTCAGAGGGGACAGGGTCCTTCTCCCCCCAGATTTGCTGCTTGGCTTGTACTGAGCATGCTCAGTCACACTGCTGAAGCCGCCTGCCCTCAATCCGCCCCCCCACTATCGGCAGGCACAGGTCGCCTCTGGTCCTCCTTAACAGTGTATTTTCAAACAGGCTGAAGCCAAGCCTCCCATTCTGTAGGTGCAATTTGAACCTACAATGTTACACTTCTTAGATGAACTGAAGGTGCACATCTGAGCACTTGCACCTCTAAATTAGAGGTGCAAACTTGGCCAGGGCAAATTTTACGCACAATAGGAAGAACACCCTTTTGCAAGTTTGGCCCTTGGTATCAGGGACATGAACATGTGAAGTCAGCCATCAAATCTGTTTGGCATATTTTTAATACCTGATTGAAAGATCTTAGCAGGATCTAGTGCACAGGAGCAAACTGGAGACATGAAAAGAATAGCAAAGTAAATAGTTTATTAACTGGGACCCTCAGACTAGCATGTCTGAGATTAGGGAGCTGTTTTGACAGTCTGTAGGAATTGTACCCGGGAGTAGATGAACTTTAGAACATTTACTACCTCATTGGCCTAGTACATCTGTCGGAGGTATTCATGGTAATCACTGGGAAATCCACATCTTCCCATTGCTCTGGAAGTCACTTCCTGATGGTGACAGTCTGCAATAGAGCCCTGCATGGGACTATTTTTAAAATGCTGATCCCATCCCGCCCCGTAATACACTCCCACCCACTCCCACATAGTTTCTTGCATTTTTATCTCACCCCCACCTGCAAAAACCTTAGATCCTGCAAAAGAGACAGATTCTCTCATATTACTAAAATGACAATTTTACCACTAAAAGAATAAAAGAAATCTTGCTTAAACCATAGTGATACAGGAGGGCCAGGGAGCAGTGCTAGAGGGGAAATATATAAGCCCTAGGCTAATTAAGGTATGATTCCCTGTAGACTAGGGAGGGTTGCTACAGGTTAATTGGAGCACCTGTAGTCAATTAAGCCCTGTCAGGAACCTAATAAAACCCCCCTGCTTCAGGCAGCTGGGGACTGGAGTTGGAAGGTGTGTTGTAAGAGTTGGAAAACCAGAGAACTGAAGTGAGGGAGACTTCCTCTCCCAGCATCTAAGGACTGAAGGTTCCCCACACAAGGGGGAAGTGGGTAAGAACTCTCAGGGGTTGAGAGGGGCTGGGGCTCAGAGTGAGGTGCAAACCCAGACCCCTCCCCTGCTTCCCTCCTCTACCACCTTCCTGGGCCACTATTGGGGACCTCAGTGGCCCCCTGCCAAGAAATGCTCCGAATCCACCATACTAACATTGGCTGTCTTGCCCCACCGTGTAGAAATATTTTAACTCCTGTTATAATAGACATCAAATCTCTTTCTATCCCTTGCTTAAATTTAAGTATTAAAATTTTTATTTTAAAAAGAGAAACTTGCTTTGTATTGCTCAAATTCTATACAGGACAAGGTGATAGAGTTAGTGTTTTCTTGCAAATCTCCACAGACTGGATTTTATTCCCCACCCACTCCTGACCACAACAAAGTACATTTTACCTGCTCCCACTATTATGGCAGCAGTCCTAGGATCCACAGGATCCCACCCAGTCCCACTGCAGGATTCTAACCTGTATGCAAGAAACTGGATGTAGCAGGGACATCACCTCTAGAGCACCCCCTCATGGTAAAGGGTGGCCCTTCAGGCACCCCACATTCCCCCTCCTGGGCCTCCCCATGACTTTCCATAGTCTAGAGTACTCAATATAAAAGGTTCCTCTTCTGGAGTCTGATTTATTGTGGCTGTACAGCTTCCAGCAGCCCTCTTCTTTCAGGCCACTTCTAGCACCGCCTGAAGAGTGTGTGTGTTTGTGTGTGTGTGGGGGGGGGGGAGCAGTAATCATAATCTGGGGGCAGCTGCTGTGGTAACGGTGCTTAAAATGCACCCTCAGTGACCCAGCTCAGTTTGTATTTGCTTTGCCAGGTCTGCACCACACCCTTGAAGCCCGGCCTCCACGCCCAAAGCCTTCCTGCGTTGCTAAGGGACTCCACCACCCTCCTGCCAGAGCTACTTCTGTGCTTCTCCTTGCCCTCCAGCAGCTCCATCATGGGGGGCAACAAAGTCTTGAAAGACTTCCAGACAGCTCTGCTGAGGCACATGCTGCCTGCCAGCTCACAGTACCCAGCCAGCAGCCTCTCCTTCTAAATCTCTCTGGGACTCCTGCAGGAGACTTTGGCTCATCCTCGGCTCCATCCAGAAAATCCCTATCTACCCTCAAGGCCTGACTGGGTCATATGGCTTACCTCATCTCTCCTCCTCCCAGGAGAGTGGCTGGGGCTGAACCCATCTCCCCATAAAGGACCAGCCACCCAGGGACATTGTTTTTACCACTGAAAAGGCCCAGTGTTGATGCGGGCTGAGTGGATTCTAACATGACCTCCCTCCCCCGGGATTGTCCATGCGTTCATGCACAGCTACAGACTAGGGACCGAATGGCTAGGCAGCAGTTCTGCGGAAAAGGACCTACGGGCGACAGTGGACGAGAAGCTGGATATGAGTCAGCAGTGTGCCCTTGTTGCCAAGAAGGCCAATGGCATTTTTGGATGTATAAGTAGGGGCATAGCGAGCAGATCGAGGGACGTGATCGTTCCCCTCTATTCGACATTGGTGAGGCCTCATCTGGAGTACTGTGTCCAGTTTTGGGCCCCACACTTCAAGAAGGATGTGGATAAATTGGAGAGAGTCCAGCGAAGGGCAACAAAAATGATTAGGGGTCTGGAACACATGAGTTATGAGGAGAGGCTGAGGGAGCTGGGATTGTTTAGCCTGCAGAAGAGAAGAATGAGGGGGGATTTGATAGCTGCTTTCAACTACCTGAAAGGGGGTTCCAAAGAGGATGGCTCTAGACTGTTCTCAATGGTATCAGATGACAGAACGAGGAGTAATGGTCTCAAGTTGCAGTGGGGGAGGTTTAGATTGGATATTAGGAAAAACTTTTTCACTAAGAGGGTGGTGAAACACTGGAATGCGTTACCTAGGGAGGTGGTAGAATCTCCTTCCTTAGAGGTTTTTAAGGTCAGGCTTGACAAAGCCCTGGCTGGGATGATTTAACTGGGAATTGGTCCTGCTTCGAGCAGGGGGTTGGACTAGCTGACCTTCTGGGGTCCCTTCCAACCCTGATAATCTATGATTCTATGTGCTGTTCTGGTTGCTCTTTCCCTTTGCAATGCTGCTGAGTTATTCTGTCTGTGAAGGGTGTGGGGTGACAAAAGAATGGGAGCTCAATGGGTGCATGCTATTTGTTAAACTCCTGCCAGGTCAGGGAAAGCCTAGCCTTTGCTGGGGGAAAGTTCCTTTGTGGCTCGTGCTGCTGGGTGAAGCTATTCTCTGCCACCCCACGGAGCTTGGCGCGCAGGACAAACCCTCTACAAACTGCAGCTCAGAATTGCAAGGGAAATAAAAGTAAAAGAGTACTTGTGGCACCTTAGAGACTAACAAATTTATTTGAGCATAAGCTTTCGTGAGCTACAGCTCACTTCATCGGATGCATTCAGGGAAATAAACTGCATCCAAATTTGCCTGCTCCCAGCAAGCGCTGCCACTGGGCCCAGCTCCTGAATGACAAATGTGGTCCAATAGTGCTCTCTGCTGGCCACAGCTAGTACCCTCAGGATTTCACACTCTGGAGAAGTTTATTCTGAGAGGAGGGCAAAGATCCTCATTCTGATGTCCATCCCAAGGCTGAACTAGGGGAAGCAGGGATCCAGGCAGGGAGGGTCCCGATAGCAGAAGGAGACCATCTACAGGGGATGAGAACATAAAGGGGCTTGCCATTGGCAGAGGACTAGGAAGTATAATCCATTTGTAGGGGCTAAGGGCTTTGGAGGTAGTGTCTGGTGGGGACGAGTGTCCCTGTTGTGGTTACAGGGACAAACCATCCCGATGAGACGAAAGAATAGTAAATATGGCAGGCGACCAGCTTGGCTTAATGGTGAAATCCTAGCAGATCTTAAACATAAAAAAGAAGCTTACAAGAAGTGGAAGGTTGGACATATGACCAGGGAAGAGTAAAAATATTGCTCGGGCATGTAGGAATGATATCAGGAGGGCCAAATAGCACCTGGAGCTGCAGCTAGCAAGAGATGTCAAGAGTAACAAGAAGGGTTTCTTCAGGTATGTTGGCAACAAGAAGAAAGCCAAGGAAAGTGTGGGCCCCTTACTGAATGAGGGAGGCAACCTAGTGACAGAGGATGTGGAAAAAGCTAATGTACTCAATGCTTTTTTTGCCTCTGTCTTCACTAACAAGGTCAGCTCCCAGACTGCTGCGCTGGGCATCACAAAATGGGGAAGAGATGGCCAGCCCTCTGTGGAGATAGAGGTGGTTAGGGACTATTTAGAAAAGCTGGATGTGCACAAGTCCATGGGGCCGGATGAGTTGCATCCGAGAGTGCTGAAGGAATTGGCGGCTGTGATTGCAGAGCCATTGGCCATTATCTTTGAAAACTCGTGGCGAACCGGGGAAGTCCCAGATGACTGGAAAAAGGCTAATGTAGCGCCCATCTTTAAAAAAGGGAAGGAGGAGGATCCTGGGAACTACAGGCCAGTCAGCCTCACCTCAGTCCCTGGAAAAATCATGGAGCAGGTCCTCAAGGAATCAATTCTGAAGCACTTAGAGGAGAGGAAAGTGATCAGGAACAGCCAGCATGGATTCACCAAGGGAAGGTCATGCCTGACTAATCTAATCGCCTTCTAAGATGAGATTACTGGTTCTGTGGATGAAGTGAAAGCAGTGGATGTATTGTTTCTTGACTTTAGCAAAGCTTTTGACACGGTCTCCCACAGTATTCTTGTCAGCAAGTTAAGGAAGTATGGGCTGGATGAATGCACTATAAGGTGGGTAGAAAGCTGGCTAGATTGTCGGGCTCAACGGGTAGTGATCAATGGCTCCATATCTAGTTGGCAGCCGGTATCAAGTGGAGTGCCCCAAGGGTCAGTCCTGGGGCCGGTTTTGTTCAATATCTTCATAAATGATCTGGAGGATGGTGTGGATTGCACTCTCCGCAAATTTGCGGATGATACTAAACTGGGAGGAGTGGTAGATACGCTGGAGGGCAGGGATAGGATACAGAGGGACCTAGACAAATTGGAGGATTGGGCCAAAAGAAATCTGATGAGGTTCAATAAGGATAAGTGCAGGGTCCTGCACTTAGGATGGAAGAATCCAATGCACTGCTACAGACTAGGGGCCGAATGGCTAGGCAGCAGTTCTGCGGAAAAGGACCTAGGGGTGACAGTGGACGAGAAGCTGGATATGAGTCAGCAGTGTGCCCTTGTTGCCAAGAAGGCCAATGGCATTTTGGGATGTATAAGTAGGGGCATAGCGAGCAGATCGAGGGACGTGATCGTTCCCCTCTATTTGAGGTGGTAGAATCTCCTTCCTTAGAGGTTTTGAAGGTCAGGCTTGACAAAGCCCTGGCTGGGATGATTTAACTGGGAATTGGTCCTGCTTCGAGCAGGGGGTTGGACTAGATGACCTTCAGGGGTCCCTTCCAACCCTGATATTCTATGATTCTAGGGGAGCACCAAAGTGTTGGTAGCTCTGGTCCCCACTTTGTCTTAATCATCCTCTGTCTACTCCCATCCCACTATATTACACACTTTTGCTCCCAGCGCCACACTGGAAAATGAGATCTGTCTATGATCCTCTATGGGAGCTAGCTGGGCCGCTGTCTACCCAGCTCTCCTCATCCTGCATTCCTCATGCACTCTTTCCCTACATCTCTGTAGCATTCTCCCTTCCAGTCAAGGAAGGGGTTTGGGCCTAGCTAAGCTGCTGTCTCTCTATGCCCTCCAGGAGCTGTCTTCCCCCAGCCACAGCTCTGGCAAACTTTGATGACAAGCTTCAGTCTGCCGAAGGGCAGTGCCGTGTGGATGTAGCCTTCTGGGGTGGAGTCGTCCCTGGAAACCATGTCAGTGGGTGTTATTCAGCAAATGCAACAGCATGAAGTACCAGCTGGAATAGGGGCAAGGGCAGATACCCAGGTCTCACCTCCTCTCTGGGGAGTTTCAGTGCAGGGAGCCAACGTGCTTAGTGCTTCTGGAAACCTGGCTGCAAGTCACTAAAAAAATGCTGCACAGTCAATGCGAACTGCAAAATAAAGCAGAGGAAACTGATCAGTCCAACAAAGTCTTGCTGAATGATTCAGTCAATAATGCTGAACATACCTCCCACTCAGCTGATCTGTATAACCACACTGGGGAAGAGACACAGAACAATGTCCCAGGGATGCTACTAACGAATCTGCATCCACTGGCAAGGCTCCCATTGACTTCAATGAGGCCAAGGTTTGGCCCTGGCTCCTGTGAGGCTGATGAGAGAATCCCATTCCCTGCTGCTGTTAGAAGAGGTGTCTGGGCTGGGCCAGCTTGCAGATGTTGGGAGGTTTGTATTGGCCCAATCTATTAGCAATGGGGCAGCAAATATCATAATAACCATAGAATCCCATTGTCCTAGCATGGGGTCAGAGATTAGTGGGCATTAGCTGAGCAAAGTTGTTGAGTAACCACTAGCACAAACACAGCTTTGATCTGTTGAAATGAAGGGTTTGTCTACTGAGGGGCATCTTGACCTTCAAAGTCTACTGGAATTTGACTTTCTGCGGAGGTAAATGTTGAAGAAACTGATGACCCTATCCATTGTGGAGCAGAACTGACCCATATACATACTGAGTTATTGGCTAGGATGATGCCTCGTGGGGCATGTGGACAGTAGTTTAGGTGCTCGTCCTTTGGCATATTTTGCTTAAATGTGGCTCTCATAGCTGGAGCCATCCAGAAGGGCTGGCTGAACCAGGTGTCTGATAACCTGAGTGCATCCCTTCTGTTGCCTGCTTTAGGATGAGCTCCTGTCCATGCTGCAGGCTGGAGTCCCAGGCTTTAAGTGCTCCCTGATTGCAAGTGGAGTGGAGGAATTCCCCCATGTCAGCCTCCAAGATCTGCATACGGCAATGAATGGGCAGGGCACACACAGACACCCCACAACACCGATGAATGTTGCAAGCAAGAGCCTATTGACAGGGGAGTCACGGAATAAAACTCCCCTAGCTGTAACCCTTGCTAGGCAGTTAGCTACTCTGTACGCTTCTGGGGTCAGCTCTTCTGCTGGTGTAAATAGTCCATGGAGTCCAGGAGCACATCACTTTGTCCCTTAGGCACAAACCTTCTGCACCTCAGGATGCAAACCTGACTCTATTTCCTTCTCTGGCGTCTGTGCAGACCCCACAGAGTACAGGGCACTCCTGGACTCCTGCCCTGATGCAATGGAAGTGGAGGCCGTCCAGACCATCCCTGATCTCTGCCTCTAGTATAAGTAAGGAACCATTCTCCTGGGGGCTGGGAAGCAGGGAGGAGACACATGAGCTTTAACAGAAGTGACCTTTGACCTCCAGAAAGTCATTCTCTGTAGCCCTCCCTCCCACCATCTGGCTCTCTGCTTTCATTGCACAAAAGGGTGTGAGGCCCCTGTCCGTGCCAAGAGAGCTGTGGCAATGTAAACCGAGGACAACCTGTCACTGGGCAGAAAGGCTCACACACACCCAGGCTTCCTCTCCAGCAGGGAAGCCAGTGACCCCCCCCCCCCCCCAATCTCATAGGTGTGGTGATTTGGCATAAGCGTGTGTCCTTACCTCTCAGGCACCCCCTCCAGCCCAGATGCAGTGTTGGCCTCGTCTCCTGGCCCTGCAGAGCTTCTCCTGCAGGGTTCTCCTGCCTCCTTTCCCCACGGATCTCCCTGCTGCAGAGCTTCTCTTCTAACTCACATGCCTCCTGGGTGTCTCCTCTATTCCCTCAGCCTCACACACCCTAGCTTGGGGCTCCCCTCTGCTCCTTGTGTGGCTCGCATGCTGGCTTCTGCAGGCTCTTCCCAGAGAGGACCCTCCTCCTTAGCTCTGGTGCTTCACCACCACAGCTGGGGTCAGTCTCTCTTTAAGCCCCAGGAGACCCAGCTGGGGGTCACTAATTACCACTTGTGTTGCCAGCTCATCAATGAGACTGAGGACAGTGGCTAAGTCATGAACAAGGCCACTAGCCCTCCCCGTAACCCACAGGCCCCTCTAGTGGTGACACTGCAGCTCTGCTCTCAATCATCACGAGATGAGTGAAGTCACTGGCCTGAGAGCTGCCCAGCCAGCAAGATAACGGTCTTATGCTCTCTCCTAACAGGGTGCCCTGCCACATCCTCCACCTCTCCTCTGCTCAAGCCCCGCCCATCATCAGAGAAGCTCGCCAGAAAGGGGCGCCACTCACTATAGAGACTGCTCACCACTACCTCACCCTGACGTCTGAACACATTCCACCCGGGGGCACGTACTACAAGTGCTGTCCTCCTATCAGAGCCAAAACCAATCAGCTAATGAGACCTAGAGGGGCTCCAGAAGGGAATCTCAGCCCAAGAAATCAAATGCCACGAGCATAACCAGGGCTGGGGGAACGGGGTACCAGCAAAGGAGGGAAACGAGGCCACCATCTAAGAAGATACATTTCAGGAGCACCAAAAGTCAGACTGGGCCAGCTCTTCAATCTCGTGGATCCCATCCTCTTGCCCCTCACTCCCATTCTGCAGAATTCAGGCAACTCTGTCACTCATCTCTCCTCTGCTTCAGTCACCTGGCAGTGAATCCCTGAGTGTGGCCTCAATCAAACATGGTACAGGCTTGGGATGGGCTGTCGTGGGACACAGCGAGGCTTGGGAAGGAAGTGGCTACAGTGGCTAAGGCTCTAGGTGACCAAGGCCCAGACAAGGGGTTTACCTGTGGAACAGAAAGGAATGGGTGGGGTTTGGACATGTTGTGGAGGGAGAGTGGGAGGGGTTACAGAGGGTCTGAACAGAGACTATTTCTCTCGGGCTGAAGAGAGGGTGCCTGGTTAAGGACAGGAAGGTAGGACTGAGGGTCACCAGCACAAAACTTTCCTAGCTGAACCATGTGGTTGGTGCTTAAGTTTCGTGGGGTGGAGAGGGCCAAGGACAATGACAGAGGGAGGAGGGGAGGTACTGCTAAGGGAGGTACCACAGGATCTGCAGATAAGCAGTAGGAGAAGCAGGAAAGTGCAAGCTCTGCAGCCTCAGAAATGGAGTGTTTCCAGGAAGATGAAGTGCTCCATGGTGCCAAAGGCAGTGTTGCTTAATGGCTAGAACACTGGCTTGGGATTCAGAAGATCTGAATTCTAGTCCCAGTCAGCCTCTGGATTTTTTTCAAGTGGATATTGTCACCTTTTCATCACAACACTGAACCCCTGAGGGGGAGGTTGAAAAGTTCAGGTTTTCCTTGAGAAGAAGACTTTTTCCATGCACATTTTTTAGTCAAAAACCTAATTTTCCACCAAATGCACAGTTCTGCTGGAAAAATTTCCACCATGCCTTCTGAGTACACAAAGCCCCTTGCACAACTGTCCCATCAGAGTGTGACCATTGCATGGTCTCTGTGCTGCTGCATGTTATCAGCAGCTTACACAAGATTTTCCCAAACATAGCCAAGTGCAATGCAGTCTGCTCAGCCTTCACCCTCCTTTTAAAAACATCAGGAGCAGAGTAAACTGACTTTGGTGCTGTCATAAGAGGGAAGCAAACACTGATAACTCGCTGAGAGACTGGCTGATGTTTTATCTTAACCTTATGACTGGGGGGTGGAGAGCAGTGGTGTGTGCGTCTGCATGAGAGCGAGATCTATGCTTGTTACTTGTGTGTATGTATCAATTGAATTAGGCAATAATTTTTCTTGCCTCAATCACTCCCTCTTGCAGAAAAGCCAGGGAGAGGAGGGGAACAGCAGGGGGACTTCATGAAACTTCCCTGGCAGAATCCGCCCCTGCCCTGCTCACTCCCTTCAGGGGTTTTCTGGCTGGCCTGGGGAGGGGGGTGTCAGCCCTGGAAACCTATTAGCTCCAAAGCTTAGCTCGCTGCTCTCTCTGGAACCCCTTTAAGGACATCCAGGGGCTTTGGATCAGCACCTAGATAGTGGCGCCCTAGCTGAGAGGGGGCCCAGTTGCTCAATTAATTTAACCTGAGGTTGCAGTAAATTAAGTGTTGCCCAGGGGATCAGTTAAAAACAAGACACTCGAGCATACAAAGGCAAAGAGAGCAAACCCAACAACATGCGCTCCCCACATGCTCAGCCCACCCCCATAGGGGCACCTAGGGGAACTCCCCCAGAAGAATTCAGAGCCAAGGGACATGCCGATCTCGAGGAACAGCCCCAAACCCCCACACATGCTCTGTGAAGGAGAGGGATGGACACAGTAAGACACACCAACCTTGCCTGCTCATTCCTGTGCACACCTGAAGGCAGAAAAGAACACCAGGCAGGCATCACTGCTGCTCACACTGCTCACACCAGGTAGGATAGGCTGGGGCAAGAGGGTTGATCGCCCTGTATTGGTTCTGTAAATGAAATACCTTGTTCTGCTTTGGATTCACCGGATATAGGGAGCAGTGCAAGGCTCTACATCCAGCGAGGCGGAGATTGGTTCTAAGGAAGGTTCTTGGGCTCCCAAGAAAGAGCAGATATAGGACTCTCTTGCAGACGTAGGACGGCATAAAACCTGCTGCTCACAAACAGGGAAGAATTGGTAGGGGAAGTAAAAGTGGGTGATCAGGAGATGGTTGAGTTCAGGATCCTGATAAAAAGAAGAACGGAGAGCAGCAGAATACAGACCCTGGACTTCAGAAAAGCAGACTGACTCCCTCATGGAACTGAAGGGCAGGATCCCCTGGGAGGCTAATATGAGGGGGAAAGGAGTCCAGGAGAGCTGGCTGTATTTTAAAGAAGCCTTATTGAGGGCATAGGAACAAATAGCAAATATGGCAGGTGACCAGCTTGGGTTAACAGTGAAATCTTCGGTGACCTTAAACTCAAAAAGGAAGCTTACAAGAAGTGGAAGCTTGGACAGATCACTAGGGAGGAGTATAAAAATATTGCTTGAGTATGCAGAGGTGTAAACAGGAAGGCCAAGGCACAAATGGAGTTGCAGCTAGCAAGCAATGTGAAGGGTAACAAGAAGGGTTTCTACAGGTATGTTAGCAACAAAAAGGTGGTCAGGGAAAGTGTGGTACCCTTACTGAATGGGGGAGGCAACATAGTGACAGGTGATGTGGAAAAAACTGAAGTACTCAATGCTTTTTTTTTTTTTTTTGCCTCAATCTTCACAGACAAGGTCAGCCCTCAGACTGCTGCACTGGGCAGCACAGTATGTGGAGGAGGTGAGTGAAAGAACAGGTTAAGGACTATTTTAAAAAGCTGGACAAAGACAAGTCCATGGGTCCGGATCTAATGCATCCGAGGGTTCTGAGGGAGTTGGCTGATGTGATTCTATTATTAATATTCTATGACTATGATTGCACAGCCATTGGCCATTATCTTTGAAAAGTCATGGCAATTGCCAAGCCGGATGATTGGAAAAAGGCAAATATAGTGCCCATCTTTAAAAAAGGGAAGAAGGAGAATCTGGGAAACTATAGACTGGTCAGCCTCACCTCAGTCCCTGGAAAAATCATGGAGCAGGTCCTCAAGGAAACCATTTTGAAGGACTTGGAGGAGAGGAAGGTGATCAGGAACAGTCAACATAGATTCACCAAGGGCAAGTCATGCCTAACCAACCTGATTGCCTTCTATGATGAGATAACTGGCTCTGTGGATATGGGGAAAGCGGTGGACGTGATATACCTTGACTTTAGCAAAGTTTTTTCATACAGTCTCCCACAGTATTCTTGACAGCAAGTTAAAAAAAGTATGAATTGGATGAATGGACTATAAAGTGGATAGAAAGCTGGCTAGATCATAGGGCTCAATGGGTAGTGATCAACAGCTCTATCTAGTTGGCAGCTGGTGTCAAGCGGAGTGCACCAAGGGTCGGTCCTGGGGCCGATTTTGTTCAACATCTTCATTAATGATCTGGATGATGGGATGGATTGCACCCTCTGCAAGTTTGCGGATGACACTAAGCTGAAGGGAGAGGTAGTACACTGGAGGGTAGGGATAGGGTCCAGAGTGACCTAGGCAAATTGGAGAATTGGGCCAAAAGAAATCTGAGGTTCAACAAGGACAAGTACAGAGTCCTGCACTTAGGACAGAAGAATCCCATGCACCGCTACAGGCTGGGGACCGACTGGCTAAGGGGCAGTTCTGCAGAAAAGGACCTGGGGATTAAAGTGGATGAGAAGCTGGATATGAATCAACAGTGTGCCCTTTTTGCCAAGAAAGCTAATGGCATATTGGGCTGCATTAGTAGGAGCGTTGCCAACAGATCAAGGGAAGTGATTATTCCCCTCTATTCGCCACTGGTGAGGCCACATCTGGAATATTGCATCCAGTTTTGGGCCCCTCACTACAGAAAGGATGTGGACAAATTAGAGAGTCCAGCAGAGGGCAACAACAATTATTAGGGGGCTGCGGCACATGACTTATGAGGAGAGGCTGAGGGAACTGGGGTTATTTAGTCTGCAGAAGAGAAGGCAGCCTTCAATTACCTGAAGAGGGCTTCCAAAGAGGATGGAGCTAGGCTGTTCTCAGTGGTGGCAGATGACAGAACAAGAAGCAATGGTGGCAAGTTGCAGTGGGGAAGGTCTAGGTTTGATATTAGGAAAACTACTTCACTAGGAGGGTGGTGAATCACTGGAATGGGTTACCTAGGGAGGTGGTGGAATCTCCATCTTCAGAAGTTTAAGGCCCCGGCTTGACAAAGCCCTGGCTGGGATGATTTAGTTGGGGTTGATCCTGCTTTGAGCAGGGGGTCAGACTAGATGACCTCCTGAGGTCTCTTCTAACCCTAATCTTCTATGATTCTATGACTTTGGAGACATTGGACTCGTAGGCTCTCTAGAGGACTCTGTGAAACTGAAGAAGGCTTCCCTTCTTACGCACTCTCTCCTTGTGGTGCAGTGGCCTCAGATGGGCCTGAAATCAGAACCCTGGGGGCCAATGAGTATTATTGTATGGTTTCACCACCACCATGGGCCCAAACTCACAAAGAATCTCAAGAGATTTGGCCAACCCAGAACCCAAGATGGAAAATAAGCCTCCTGATCCTGGGAGGTGGGTTTTTAAGGTCCTTGAAACTGGTTCAAATCTGGGTTCCCCGACCTGAATTCTTGCATGTGGATTCAAGAGCTCAGCTATGCTCCATCTCTACTGGACATGCAAACACATTACATGGTCTTATAAGTAGATGCAACTGTATCTTCTGCATTCATAAATCAGACCACTGGTTTGTGCTGACTGAGGCTCCAGAGAGTGTAGTGGGACATAGTCTAAGTGTTGCCCAGATAAGAACTGTAGTGTCCCTTATGAGAGAGAACAGACAGGTCTCCAGTGCAATAAACACAGAGGGGCTGCATCAGTTAAGATGCTGCTGGATATGCACATCCTCTGTAGCTCTCAGACAGGAGACTGTGCTGTGTGACAGCTGCAGTCTTGGCTGATGCATCTGGTATTGACCTGGAGACCTCCAGAGCTGAAAGTATGAACCTTTATAGCCTGGCCAAGGCTCTTTGGCTTGAGGCTACAACAGCCTGACAGCCTTTCTGGATGGGGACACATAACACACACTGACCAACATGTTACATGTTTCTTCCAGACAGAGGAAGCTCATCCCAAGCATCCTACACCCACTGCAGTTTGACTCCCAAACCAGCCCCTACCTCTGTGATGGCTGCCACACCAGCCCCTACCTCTGTGTTGGCTGCCAGCTTGGCCAACACACTCAGCACTGAACCAGGGGGCTCCCGAGCTAACTGCATGAGCTGCTAGAAAGCAACCTTTTATAGTGTGATCAAGCGGACAGCACATGGAACTGGCATGGTGGAAACCTGAGTTCTAGTCCTGGCTCTACCACTGGCCTGCTGCTGACCTTGGGTAAGTCTCTGCACTGCTGTGCCTCAGTTTCCCCATCTGTAAATTGAGGATAGTGATCCTGATCCCTCCTTGGTAGAGTGCACTGAGATCTACTCAAGAAAAGCCTTGTATAAGAGCTAGATATTATTATTATTATAGCCAAGAGCTGCACCAGATCCAACTCTTCAGTGGCTCAGCTCTAACTGCTGTGTCACATGCATTGACCAGTGGGTTAACACAGTGCAACCTCACCGCACAGCTCTGCCTAAACACTCAATTGCTTAAGCAATCCTGGATGGGAGGCTTGGCTCCACCACCATGCTGATTGGGTAAGTTATCCTACACAAACACCCATGCAGTTATCCAGTCAGCTTTCACGTCAAGGGAGTGCTCTTTCAACTGCACTGTTGTCTCACAAGAAAAATAAAACCACACACAGCCCAGCTAAGTCAATAAAGAACAAAAGCAGCTGGGGGTCTGACAGCCTGGCTGTGGTGCTGCTCTAGGTGACACGCCAGCCTTCCCCAGCTGGGGTGAAACAGAGTCCTCCGCAAGTCGGTTACACACTCCATATATTCCATGCTGGCCAGGAAGGTGCAGGAGGACCAGGCAAAGGGGGAACTAATTAACACAGTGGGGTAAACACTTGTCCGATAGCCTCACTCTTACAACTACATGTTGGGCATGGCTGCCGGTATGACTCTTTGTGATCGTGGTAAATTCTACCCCCCAACACACACCATCATCTGGGCATACAATACCTTTCCCCAGAACCAGTCAAATTGGGGTCTTGAGGAAAACAAACAAAGAAGACTGGTTCCTACTCTTAGCTACCCCAGGATAACTCAGGAGACATTCCCGTGCAGGTAATAGCGTAGGGTATGGCCTGGGGAAAGGGGTGGGCCAGGGCATCGTTGTATCACATTGATCCCCGGCTGCTTAACTGGCAGTGTAATTGAGAGCAGCTCCTAGATGCTCTAAATCAGCAGTTCTCCTCTGTGACTCGGGGCTCTGTGAGCCATTTCACAGGGTCCACAAGCCCCAGCACCCCAGGGTCCCGTGGATCTAAAGCCTCAAGTCCCCCTACCCTGCGGGGCTAAAGCTGGGAGCCCAGAACCCCAAGTCCAGTGCCCCACATGACAGAAGCCCCAAGCCCTGAGCTCCTCCGCCAGCAGCTGAAACCCAGAGCCCTGAGCTACCCTCCCACACAGTCGAGCCTAGAGCCCCAAGACCCCTGCTCTACCCCACAAGGCTAAAGCCCCAAGCCCCCTCTCCCCCCAGCGCCTGAAGCCCAGAGCCTCCCTGCAGCTGGAGCCTGGAGCCCTGGCCTCTCCCCTGCTGGGCCCTGGAATTTTGGGAGTATGTTGGGGGCAGGGGTGAAAGTAAGTCCAGTGACTTACCAGTACTCCAGGGCCAGCTCCGGGCCCCTGAAGGGGCGGGGCCTAGGACGGAAGGGGCGAGGCTGAGGAGATCAGAGCCAGTCCCAGGCCACCCTGTAAGGAAGTGCCCCCACACCGGGGTAGCAGCAGCTGCCCGGGGCTCCCCTCTTGTACTGCCCTGGCCCTTTAAATAGCCGCCGGAGCCCTGGGGAAGTGGCGGGGCTCCACCGGCTATTTAAAGGACCAGGCGGCAGAGGCACCTGGAGCCCCAACCCTTTAAATAGCCCCCGGAGCCCCTGCTACCCCAGGGCTCCAGGGGCTATTTAAAGGGCCTGTGGCTCCACTGCCTCTGCCACCCCGGTCCTTTAAATAGCCGCCGGAGCCCTAGAGTAGCGGCTGCGGGGCTCTAGCGGCTATTTAAAGGGCCAGGGCGGTAGAAGCAGGGGAGCCCCAGGCCCTTTAAATAGCCGCTAGAGCCCCGCAGGGCTCCAGAGCCTTGCAGCCGCTACCCCAGGGCTCCAGCAGTGGGGGCTCTGGAGGCAATTTAAAGGGCCTGGGGCTCCAGCCACTGCTGGGAGCCCCAGACCCTTTAAATTGCCCCCTGGGGAATCCGGGCTGCCCCAGTACGGTGCACCGGCTCTTACCAGTACGCCGTACCGGGGTGTACCAGCTTACTTTCACCTCTGGTTGGGGGGCCCCAGAAAGAAAGAGGCTGAGAATCCCTGCTCCAACTTATGTCAAGGCCCCAGTCAAGCACACAGGTGGAGGAGGTCAAAGGCCAGGTTTGTATTCTACATCCTAAACTGTACCGTGAGCTCCTTGGACATCACAGTGGCTCTGACTGGGCCCATACTCCTAAAGCATGAAGCAACTGGGCGAAATGCTGCTCACAGTTAAATTGGTGTAAATCCTGTACTACACTTGGTTATGCCAGCATAAGCCCTGAGTGGCTCTAGGTCAACGGAGTTACTTTAGATTTGTACCAGGGGGACAGAGCAGAATTTGGCATCTGATGGATTATAAAAAGGGAAAGAGCTTTAGGCCGGCAAAGCTAAGAGCTTCAAACCTTGTCATGAACGTTGCTCCTTTCTTCAGCCCCTTCCTGCACAGCCGCTTCTCATCACTGCCTGCATTACCACTGTGACATGCCTGTCTCTTACTATTACCAAGCTGGGGGCTCCTGTCCCCTGTGGGGGATTATTAGCCATTCTAATACCACCAGCATGGAGTTCTTGCCATGAAGAAAGCAGAAGCCAACAACGACTGGTTGCCATTTCTGATCCATGATGGAAGAAAACAGCCTAGCTTTTAAGCGTTTAGAGGAGCCCCCTGGCCTGAGAGAGTGACACCACTCTGGGCTGTCCTCTTGTCAGAGGAGGTTGGACTTGGATGGATGACCTCCTGGAAAAGCCACAAAGCAGCAGGAAAAGTTGCTTCCCCAAATGCCGCTCTACCTGTGGACCTACTGAATCAGTGCCACACCATACTGCTTGAGGCTGGCTTTCTTGTGAGACACACAGCTGAGGTCCTGACCGCTTGGGTGATTAAAGGAATGCATTTTTGTAAGAGTGAACATGTGCATTAACCATGCAGCCCTAGCCAAGTTCCAGGTGGGCTAGTTGCAGTCTGCCTTTCTAAATCCCCCCTGAAGGTTCAATACATCTTTCTTCTTCACTGCTGCTGTGTACTGTTAAACAGCTGCTATGTGTCAGCCCAGAGACAGCTGCATGTCAGTGGGTAGTGACAGAAGTCCTATATACTCATTGACTCAGCTTGTAAAGTGCTTCCCAATGAAGGGAAATGTACCTAGCCTCTACATGTTTTGGTTTCTCTCTCTTTTTTTTAAATCCAGGGTCATAGAATCATAAAAATAGAATATTAGAGTTGGAAGGGACCTCAGGAGGTCATCTAGTCCAACCCCCTGCTCAAAGTAGGACCAATCCCCAATTTTTGCCCCAGATCCCTAAATGGCCCCCTCAAGGATTGAATTCATAACCCTGGGTTTAGCAGGCTAATGCTCAAACCACTGAGCTATCCCTCTCCCCGCGAAAGCACTCATATAGAAACTGCAGAGATTAATCGACAGTAAATGAGGATTGGGACTTGAGTGAGCAAAATGTGGCAGCATCCAGGAAAATCACAGAAACACAAAGGCACAGCACGGGGGAGGAGACTCGTCCGAGAGAGGGAGGCAGCAAACCACAGGGGGCAGTTATTGCTTGTGCACTGGTTTGTGGAATTTCACTACCAGTAAGTTGAGATCCGAAGATCTGAGAAGCGCACTGATGTGGCCAGCTATTAACCCCAGTTAATCCTGCTTCTCCACTTGCTAGTCTTGGCCAACTAGTAACAGTGCTAATTCAAGGGCCTAATCCTGCACTACTGAAATCAATAGTAAGCATCCCATTGATTTCTTTGGCACGTGATGGGGCCTAGGGGCCTGATCCCAAATCAATGGAATGATTCCTGCTAACTTTCCTAGGCTTTGGTTCCGGGCCCAAGTAAGGCTGAGAGGAGGAGGGGAGGAAGGGAAGGAAAGCAGACGAAATGTGGGAAGAGGGAGGGAGAACGTGAGAAGGAAAAGAGAGAGAGACAGAGAAACACCTCATGAGAGTTCAGAGCTCTTTGTATTCCACACTCCTCCTCTTCGACAAGCTGTGCTTTGGTGTTCAGGCCGCAAACCCACTGCAGAATCTAGCGCTTCCTAGGCAATGTCTGTGACATCCCTGATCACAGGATAGGGATTGGATGTCACAAACGCATGCTTGAATGGAAGTGCCAGGGAAGCAGCCTGGGACTGTTCACACACCAATATCTGAGTAACCCACAGTGATGAAAAGTGATTTCTTGAACGGGAGTGGGACTCAGGAAAGCTGGGATCCATTCCCAGCTCTGCCACTGCCCTGCTGGGTGACCTGGGGCAAGACCCCTCACTTTTCTGTGCCTGTTTTCCTTCTCACCCTCTGTACATCTTGGCTATTGAGACTGGAAGCTCTTCGGGGCAGGGCTTCTCTGAGTGCTCAGTAGCATGGCTGCGGCCTCTTGGAGCTACCAGAAACCATGGCATGGTAAAAAGGACATAGTACAGGGAGTGAGGACCGGGGCACCCTCACCAAGACCACAACAGGGCAGTCTGGCAGAGCACAGCAGTGTCTTGTTATCTCACTGAGCTATGGGGAAAACCGCTCTGACTGAGCAGCTTAGACAAACATGGGGATTTTCTCCCGCACCAGGAAATTATGTGGCTGAAGCAAGAAGCAGCAACGTTGTTAGTGCCACATGAACAGCGGCGGTCAGTGCCAGCTCCTACCAGGTGCAGAGTTCATAGGCCAGGAGGGCCAATGGGGGTGTGTTTTCAAGAGGAGCTCTCTGCGGGAACATCGAGGAGGAGCCAGAGAGCGGCCGGGCCATTGGGAAGTGGGCTGTGTTGCTTTAGACTTAGGCTTTTATTGCCAGGACTGTGAAGGTCAGTGTGACAGAGCAGAGGGTTTGACAGCCTTTGAGTCATCACTCCCAGCAGAGGCTCTGTCAGAGAGGAACAGGAGCTCGACGGCTAGTGGCAGCAGGCCCAGGGGCTGGTTGCTGTCAGGGTGAAGGTTCATTCTGTTATCTCAGGCCCCAAAGATGCATCGAGCAGTGATGGGCAGTGCCTCCCGAGTGCTCCAGGCTACGGTTCAGGCTCCTCTCCTTCTGCCTGGGCTCCCAGCTCCACGTTATCGCGCAATGTCTTCACAACAGCTGCTGGTGCCACCCCCTGCAGTACTGTGGCAGCCCCTGGCCATTCCAGACAGGCTGCTCCTGGGGCCTGGGCCCTCAAACGTCCCTCCTCGGATCTTGGCTGCAGGAGGTCGGCAGCTAATTGGACACCTCCACAAGGAAATGTTCCAGGTGAGGACTACGACTCAACTTCTCCAGAACGTGGTCACTCATTCGAAGTGTTTCCTGATCTGCAGCCTCCCCCTCTCCTCAGGCACCAGTGCAATGTTTTAGATAGCACTTTCCCTTGCTCCTGACCTTCTTTTCCCCTCTTCTGGGTTCCATTCCCACAAGACGTCACTTTCTGAGTCTCCTAGAGTACAGAAGAGGTGCTTTAGCAATACTAATTATAAGTCACTGTTGGGCTGTCATTTCTCCTGGCTTCTTTCAGCTTTTGGTGTCAGTGTGTTTCTTGAAATCTTTCCTCTGTGCATGTGCCTCTGCCTTCACGGCCATGGGGATGACTCATGTGCTTCAGGCTCTTGCAGACTCAGAGCCACAGTTCTGATTCCTCCCCATTCACACTCTGAGGCTGCTCTAAAGCCTGTGACCTTTCAGTCAGTGGAAAGATTCCCACTGATTTGAATGGGCTTTGGATCAAGCTGACAAGCAGTTTGGGGAACTGCCTAGAAGACCACCATCCACTGCCTGTCGGATTCCCAATTCTCCCAGCATTTGGAGAACTCAGGGGTAGAAACAAAATCCTTTCCCTAACCTCCTTCAGTGCTTCCATGGCAAAGCTCTCCATGAGCGGTGCCAGCAGGGTCTGGCATTCGTTGTGCCTAGCTGTTTGGTGTTGGTCTCTAGCTCTTTAGTTCCCTTTCAGAACTGAGTAGAGTGTCTGTCTAGTTCAGCAGTGCCCCATGGGCACCACAAGAGAGGCCTCCCACAAAGATAGGGGTAGGGATCGGTTTTATTTTTGGTAAAACTCATTTCTGTAAGAAATAGCTAAAAGTTGTAAATATAGTGTGTTTGTGGCTTAAAGTCAAATACTCTGCAGTAAGTGACAGCACTACTGGGTCACATCATGAACTCAGGTTTCAGAGTAGCAGCCGTGTTAGTCTGTATCCTCAAAAAGAAAAGGAGTACTTGTGGCACCTTAGAGACTAACAAATTTATTTGAGCATAAGCTTTCGTGAGCTACAGCTCACTTCATTGGATGCATTCAGTGGATGCATTCAATGCATCCGATGAAGTGAGCTGTAGCTCACGAAAGCTTATGCTCAAATAAATTTGTTAGTCTCTAAGGTGCCACAAGTACTCCTTTTCTTTTTACTATTAGTGGGTGTTGATTTCAATGCAGTTACACTGCCAAACTGCAGGTGGCTGCTTTAACCCTGGCATCTTGTCTGTTCTCCTCAGATCATGGATGAAATCAAGTTGGGAATCCAGTATGCCTTCCAGACACAGAACTCACTGACTCTGGCCATCAGTGGCCCTGGCCACTGTGCCATGGAGGCTGCGCTTCTGAATGCGGTGGAGGCTGGAGAGGTGGTGCTGATAGCAGTGAATGGAATCTGGGGCGAGCGCGCAACAGACATCTCCAAGAGACTGGGTATGGGACTTGACCCCCTTTCTGTTTGCTGTCTGAGGGCCCAAGCTACAAACAGCTCCAGGATGGCTCAGACCAGGGACTAAGTTAGATTCTTGCTCACTGCCAGTGGATCTCAGTAAAATGTGTGCTGTGGCTAGGTCAGAACCATTATACAGAGACATGCTGCATCTTGACACTTAGGGCCAAATTGCTTTGTCCAATTCTGGAGTGATTACACTGACCTAGTGTAATTGACAGCTCACTTGGACTCTTGCTGCTCAGATACAGTATGGCCCTGCTCACTCTGCCCTGGCTGGGCACTTGGCAGGCCTGAGAGAATTTGGAAGAAATAGCACTCTCTCCCTTTTCCACTGACTGTCTTCTGGGAGCTCATAGAAATCAGGGAAGTTTTGGCAAAGGCAGATTTTGTTAGCAAGGGGCTTGCTGCAGAATAGAGAGAAAGCTTTCAGGTGCTGAAGGAGAGAAGAAGTTGGGCAGGACTGAACTGTATGTAATATCCCCAAAGACATTTATTTCCCACTTGATTTAAATGAGAGTTAGGTGCCTAAATACCTTTGAGGATCTGCCATAAATCCTTGTCTACACTGGGGTTCTATGCATTGGTGTAATTACACTGGGGTAGCTGGACCAGTGTAAACCCCTAGTGCAAAAGCCTGGTGTAGACACACTGCACTAGTGTAAGTCATGAATTATACCAGGGGAGTTGCAAGACTGGGTAAATTAAACCAGTGCAAGTGATGTATTTTACACTAATACAAGCATTACTAAGGGTTTGCTTTGGGCACATCCATCACAGTACCCTGCTGCAAAAACCCCAGCGTAGAGCAGACCTCACTGAGTAGAAGTAGGTCCAGGGGCCCTGCCATCAATACAGACCTTTGGGGGTAATAAAGGGGAACTGAATCCACCCAGGGAGCCTTAAAAGGAACAGACATCTCACGGAACCATCACCTTTGCCTTTCTCAGAAATTCATGGAGTCCCTGTATGTGATACCCCAGTGGAAGCTATGACAGCTGCAGTTCCCAGTCTTTCAGTGAGAATCTGACTGGGCTACGTTACACTGACACAGTCTTTGTGCTCCATGGTGCCTCCTGGCCTTTACATCTCTGACCCACACAGGGAAATTTCTATTTCCCTTCCTTTCTAGTGAGCCAGTGGTTGGGATGGGGAACAGGGGGGCTGCTACCCAGGGGCACAGCGTGTACAAGTCTAATCAGTGATATTGGGAGGGCTTTCAGCATTTTCCCAGTTTTCAGGTGGACAAATTCCCATGAGGCCAGGCTGGACTTTGACAGGTGTCTCTGCTTCCCAGTTAATACATGACTTATTACACACCCAGAACAACAACTCGAAGTTGGTCATGGTCCATCCACTGATGAGTGGAGGCTTGGCACCATGGCGACCCCACCCCCACCCCCACCCCCTTCGGGGTGCTTTGTGGCGTCATTGCACCAACCCTGGGATGTTGGTTGCACTGTGCCAAGGTGCCTGTGGGGAATGGCTCTGTGCATCCTGTCCCACACTTGCATATCGCAGCACAGCCAGCACAATCTGTCCCTCATTGTTTAATGTTGGGGGTTCGAGGCTACTGGTGCTATTCAGGGCTGTTGTTAGAGATGGAACTGCACAGCAGGGTCTGCTAGGGCACTTCTGCCAGGGCACTGACTCTCTGTCCTGCCCCTTTCAGGAGCTGATGTCCACCAACTGGTGAAGCCCCCTGGAGAATACTTTGCACTAAAGGAGATTGAGGAGGTGAGTGCTGCATGTATCGGAGCAAGGACGTTGGGACTAGACTGCAGTGCACTGGCGTTGGCTAGAATAGCCTGGGTGACTGCGGCCTCCTGGGACATAAGGAGAGGCAGGAATCCTTATGTTGCTGCAATGGCAGGCAGAGAAAGCAAGAATGGGCTATGCCCAGAGGAGAAACTATTCTCAACAGTCCCCTAATGCATCCTCTGGGCTTACAAGTAGCTGCCCTGCCCAGGAGAACCCTGCAGCTCACCAAGTGGAGGGTGGGCAGCTACTCACACTATCAGAGCACGACTGCAGAGCCTCAACTCCCTGCCCAGTTCTGCCTGCAGCCCTGAGAAATATTGGGAAGAGGAGCATTCCCCATCCTACCTGACAGTAGGGGCACTGTGTGTCTCCGCTGGCTCCTGCCAAAAACGCAGCCCTCATGTGGCAACTCTGTCCTTCACTGCTAGCAGGAAAGCAAAGGGCTGAGCCCCAGCTTGGTGCAATGGAAGCGATGCTGGTTTACACAAGCTGATGTCCTGGCCCTACATTTCTCATGTTGCCATCCACACACCCTTTGCTTTGTTTGTATAAGTGTTTGGGGCTAAGTGTTGTCTCCTTGGCTCTTCAGAGGAAAGACATGAGGGAGTACAGGAAGAAAGCATGGAGAAGTAAGAGAGAGAACCATGCACTGTTTCCACTGGACGCACATGCATTTAACTGCTAGAATATACAGCCCCTCTCGGCTCCCTAGGGTCTGTTAAGTGTAATGCGAGCATTTTCAGGCAGGGCTCCCTCACGCCGAGATTGCTGTGTAGGTTCCTAGCAGAGCTGAGTGCCTGATACACCCACAGTGTCCAGTAGAGGGAGAGTGTTCATCACTAACAAGCCCACATGGCTTCATAACAACATTATTCATTTGTGTTGTGTTAGCACCTTAGAGTTGCCATGGACCAGGATCCCACTGTGCTAGGAGAGGTACAAACACAGCACAAAGAGAGCCTTCCCCAAAGAGCTGACAGTCCAAATGTAAGATAGGAGACAACAGATGGCTACAGACAGACAGGGGAGCACAAGGAAACAATGAGACAACAGGCAGGGTCTCGGCTCGCCAGCCATCCTCAGGGTTCATAGAATCATAGTATCATAGAATATCAGGGTTGGAAGGGACCTCAGGAGGTCATCTTGTCCAACCCCCTGCTCAAAAGCAGGACCAATCCCCAACTAAATCATCCTAGCCAGGGCTTTGTCAAGCCTGACCTTAAAAACTTCTACGGAAGCAGATTCCACCACCTCTCTAGGTAACCCATTCCAGTGTTTCACCACCCTCTTAGTGAAAAAGTTTTTCCCAATATCCAATCTAAACCTTCCCCACTGCAACTTGAGACCATTACTCTTCATTCTGTCATCTGGTACCACTGAGAACAGTCTAGATCCATCCTCTTTGGAACCCCCTTTCAGGTAGTTGAAAGCAGCTATCAATTCCCACCCTCATTCTTCTCTTCCGCAGACTAAACTATCCCAGTTCCCTCAGCCTCTCCTCATAAGTCATGTGTTCCAGTCACCTAATCATTTATGTTGCCCTCCGCTGGACTCTCTCCAATTTTTCCACATCCTTCTTGTAGTGTGGGGCCCAAAACTGGACACAGTACTCCAGTTGAGGCCTCACCAATGTTGAATAGAGGGGAATGATCACGTCCCTCGATCTGCTGGCAACGCCCCTACTTATACATCCCAAAATGCCACTAGCCTTCTTGGCAACAAGGGCACACTGTTGACTCATATCCAGCTTCTTGTCCACTGTAACCCCTAGGTCCTTTTCTGCAGAACTGCTGCCTAGCCATTCGGTCCCTAGTCTATAGCGGTGCATGGGATTCTTCCGTCCTAAGTGTAGGACTCTGCACTTGTCCTTGTTGAACCTCATCAGATTTCTTTTGGCCCAGTCCTCTAATTTGTCTAGGGCCCTCTGTATCTTACCCCTATCCTCCAGCGTATCTACCTCTCCTCCCAGTTTAGTGTCATCTGCAAACTTGCTGAGGGTGCAATCCATACCATCCTCCAGATCATTAAGGAAGATATTGAACAAAACCAGCCCGAGGACCGACCCTTGGGGCACTCCACTTGATACCGGCTGCCAACTAGACATGGAGCCATTGATCACGACCCCTTGAGCCCGATGATCTAGCCAGCTTTCTATCCACCTTATCGTCCATTCATCCAGCCCATACTTCTTTAACTTACTGTCAAGAATACTGTGGGAGACTGTCAAAAGCTTTGCTAAAGTCAAGGAACACCACGTCCACTGCTTTCCCCTCATCCACAGAGCCAGTTATCTCATCATAGTAGGCAATTAGGTTAGTCAGGCATGACTTGCCCTTGGTGAATCCATGCTGACTGTTCCTGATCACTTTCCTCTCCTCTAAGTGCTTCAGAATTGATTTCTTGAGGATCTGCTCCATGATTTTTCCAGGGACTGAGGTGAGGCTGACTGGCCTGTAGTTCCCCAGATCCTCCTCCATCCCTTTTTTAAAGATGGGCTCTACATTAGCCTTTTTCCAGTCGTCCGGGACCTCCCCCGACCGCCACAAGTTTTCAAAGATAATGGCCAATGGCTCTGCAATCACATCCGCCAACTCCTTTAGCACTCTTGGATGCAGCGCATCCAGCCCCATTGACTTGTGCTTGTCCAGGTTTTCTAATAGTCCCGAACCATTTCTTTCTTCACAGAGGGCTGGTCACCTCCTCCCCATGCTGTGCTGCCCAGTGCAGCAGTCTGGGAGCTGACCTTGTTCGTGAAGACAGAGGCAATAAAAGCATTGAGTACATTAGCTTTTTCCACATCCTCTGTCACTAGGTTGCCTCCCTCATTCAGTAAGGGGCCCACACTTTCCTTGACTTTCTTCTTGTTGCTAACATACCTGAAGAAACCCTTCTTGTTACTTTTAACATCTCTTGCTAGCTGCAACTCCAGATGTGACTTGGCCTTCCTGATTTCACTCCTGCATGCTTGAGCAATATTTTTATACTCTTCCCTGGTCATTTATCCAAGCTTCCATTTCTTGTAAGCTTCTTTTTTGTGTTTAAGATCAGCAAGGATTTCACTGTTAAGCCAAGCTGGTCACCTGCCATCTTTACTATTCTTTCTACACATTGGAATGGTTTGGCCCTGTAACCTCAATAAGGATTCTTTAAAATACAGCCAGCTCTCCTGAACTCCTTTCCTCCTCATGTTATTCTCCCAGGGGATCCTGCCCATCAGGATCAGCTTTTGGCAGGCCTCACAGCAAAGGAGAGTTTTAAGGTGGATTATGAGGTGTCTTTGTAGAGGTTTGTAGGGAGCAGCACCAAGAGTCAGGGGCAGGTTGGAGGAAGCATGAAGGAGCTTGTTTGAGGTAACAAGTGGGAGATGATGATGGCGCATGTCTACAATAAATAGGAGCGTCTTGTGGCACTGCTCTCATTGCACAGACACTCCTGTCTTCCAGCAGGTGTGCAACCTCTGCAGCCCACCAATACCTACACCTGACAGCAGCCACAGGAGAGCTCCCAGTGCACCACTGCCCATGCAGGCATCTGACAGTGCCTTTGCCAGCCAAAGCCATCTCAGCATTGGGTGTGGTGTTGCAGAAATTCTGCCTCACGTTCCCCCAACAGTCATTGGCCCTGTGCTGGGCGGCTGCTCCTATGACTCCAGCCTGGTCATTTATATTCCCTCCCTTCTGGGGCAATAAAGAGTCTGACTGACCAGGAGTCTAATGAAGGGTCAGTAATTCCAAGCCCCCGGAGGAGCACTCTGACCCCTTTGCTCCAAGAAGTTGCTGGAACCCCAGCCTGCCCACCCACTCCTCCAAGCTCCAGCCCAGTGACCATGCATTAAACAGTGGGGACTGACTCCTCACAAACCGTCAATGTTTCCCTGAGCTGCTATCTACCTCAGCTCTCCTGGAGGCTTTTGCCAGACTCACACTCTTTACTTCTGCCTCTCTATAAGTCCAGTTTCCTGCCAGTCTGCAGCTGAAGGCAACTCCTTCTCTGTAGTCCCTCTGCAGCCCCCCTCTCCTTGGCCCTGCTTGCCTTCTTATCCTGCAGCTGTTGCTGCAGCTGAGAAGATGGCTAGCCTACCTTAGTGACAGTGGTAGAATGGGATCTCTACACCTCATGACGGCAGGTTACTCTCATGATGTGAGGACTGAGGGGGCTGCGTATTATCCCTGCCTCGCAGAGTGCAAACACAAGGGACAATTTTGCCCATGAAATGCCCCTGCTCTCTGTGTATGGTAGGATTTCTGCCAGAGCAGGGGAGGGCAAACTGCGGCCTGCGGGATTGCCAGCCCCATGGCGCAGTGGGGCTAAAGCAGGCTCCTTGCCTGCCCTGGCCCCGCACTGCTCCCAGAAGCGGCCAGCATCACGTCCCTACGGCCCCTTGGGGACAGGGGAGAGCAGAGGGCTCCATGCACTTCCCTCGCCTGCAGGCACCTCCCCCCCATAGCTCCCATTGGCTGGGAGCGGTACACACAGACCAGGGCACCGTGCTGCAGAGCCGCCTGCCCCAGCCCACCCCCAGGAGCCACTGCCAGATATGCTGGCCACATCCAGGAGTGGCACAGGGCCAGGGCAGGTTGGGAGCCTGCCTGCCTTAGCCCCGCTGCACACCGCTGCCACCCCAGAGCCGCTCGAGGTAAGTGGCGCTGGGCTGGAGCCCATACCCTGAACCCCTCCTGCACCCCGCACCCTAACCTCCTGCCCTTAGCCCCCTGCTGCATCCGCACCCCAACCCCCTGCCCTGAGCCCCTGAACCCCTGCCTTGAGCCCCCTGCTGCATGCCTTCTGCACCCGAACCCCCTGCCCTGAGCCCCCTCCTGCACTCTGCACTTTTCCTGCACCCCAACCGCTTGCCCTGAGTCCCTTCCTGCACCCTGCACTCCCTCCTACACCCTGCACTCCCTCCCGCACCCCAACCCCCTGCCCAGCCCTACATTCATGGCCCTGCATACAATTTCCCCACCCAGATGTGGCCCTTGGGCCAAAAAGTTTACCCACCCCTGTGCCAGAGCCTCCTCAGCTTGGTTGGTGTATTTAATTTTCTCTCTCTCTCTCTCTCTCTCTCTCTCTCTCCCATCTAGGCTCTGGCGCAGCACAAGCCCTCACTGTTTTTCATCACACATGGAGAATCATCCAGCGGGGTGCTTCAGCCCCTGGATGGCCTTGGAGAGCTCTGCCACAGGTCAGTGGGATCCTCCACATGGTGCCCTGTGGCTGGACAGACTGTCTGGACCATGGACGCACTACAGGAAGGCAGGGATATCGGGGTGTGCTGGGAAACTCAAAACAATCACTACACTTACTAACAATGCCCAATGAGCATCATGCTCTCTAGAAGCCACAAAGCTCCACCACCACCAAGTTGCCACACCTGCATTTTATTCTTGTTCTAAGTCATGGGAGATCATCAGGTGGCCCTGCGAGAGCCCAGGGAACACACATTATTGTTTGCTAAGTGCAGCAGAGAAGAGATAGGCGACAAAGCAGTAGTAAGGGGAGCAAATGTCTATCAACAGCCTCTATTCAGAGGGACTGAGTGTGGGGGGCAAAGTGACAGACAGCGCATTGGTTAGGAGAGGGTTCTGCAATCAGGCACAGCACAACAACCATCAGCCAGGTCATTGCTAGGTGCTGAATCTGGGTGTCCAAGGGTAGGATATGTCGGGGTAACATTAATGTCTCACATGGTAGAGCTGTTTGGGCTAGAGGAACAATTCCAGAGGACAAGGCTCCCAAGCTAGGGCTATGTTTCCAAGGGTAGGCTTACCCAGGCTTGGGTTAAGGTTACAATGGAGAAGACTTTCCAAACTATGCTTAGGGAACCAAAGTGTGGGGCTCCTTGAGCTGTGGGTAGGCTTTCAAAGGGTAAGACTCTGTAGGATAGGGTTGGTGTTCTAGCACTTCAAGCTTCACGGGCTAGGGTTAATGTTCCAAAGGATAGGCCGCCCTAGGTTCAGGTTAGGGTTCAAGAGAGCAGGGCTCCACGGGCTAGGGTTCTAACAGATAAGATTCCCTCAGCAAGAGTTAGGGATGCAAAGAGTAATGCTTCCTGGATTAGGGTTCAGGTTCCAGAGGGTAGGGCTCTCCAGGCTAGGGTTTGGGTTCCAGAGAGTAGGGCTATGTAGGATAGGGCAGTGATTCTCAAACAGAATGCAGACCCTTGGGGGTACTCAGAGGTCTTCCAGGGGGTACATCAACTCACCTAGATGTTTGCCTAGTTTTATAACAGGCTACATAAAAAGCAGTAGCGAAGTCAGTACAAACTAAAATTTCATACAGACAATGACTTGTTTATACTGCTCTATATTAGGGTTGCCAACATTCTAATCACACAAAACTGAATACCCTTGCCCCGCCCCTTTACTGAGGCCCTGCCCCCTTCTCCCCCGCTCACTACATTTCCCCTCCCTCGGTGGCTCGCTCGCCCCCATCCTCATTCACTTTCACTGGGCTGGGGCAGGGGGTTGGGGTGCAGGAGGGGGTGATGGCTCTAACTGAGGGTGCGGGCTCCAGGGTGGGGCTAGAAATGATGGGGCTGGGGCTGAGGGGTTTGGGGTGCAGGAGGCGGCTCCAGACGGGGGCTGGGGCCGAGGGATTCAGAGTGCAGGAGGGGGCTGTGGATTGAGGCAGGAGGTGGGGGGGCAGCAGGGGGTACGGATGCTGGGCTGGGGGTGTGGGCTCTGGGGTGGGGCCGGGGATGAGGTGTTTGGAGTTCAGGAGGAGGCTGCAGGCTTGGGGGGCTCAGGGCTGGGGTAGGGGTTTGGGGCTCAGGGCCAAGGGGCTCTGCGCCCTGCTCTTGCCCGCAGGCACCACCACCCCAGCTCCCGTTGGCTGTGGTTCCCAGCCAATGGGAGTGCGGAGCTGGTGCTCAGGGCAGGGCAGTGCACGGAGCCCCATGGCCCTCCCACCTAGGAGCTGGACATGCTGGCCACTTCCGGGGTGCATCGCGGTGCCAGGACAGGTGGGACTAGCCGGTCTTAGCCCCGCAGCACCACTGACCAGACTTTTAATGGCCTGGTCAGCATTCCAGTCGAAAACTGGACACCTGGCAACCCTACTCTATATACTATATGTAAGTGGGGGAATGGTCCAGCTATTGTGGGGAACTTTCCCGGCTTATACAATACCCCGGTGAAATGGGCTGAAAGGATCTGAGTTCTCGCTCCCACTTCCTTTTACCAAGAGGCCTGCCTGACCTTGAGGGCTCCCCTTCCTCCCTCCTGTGTGGCAAAGTCCTTGTAACACCAACAAGGCTAGGCCCAGAACTCTTGGGGAGCTCAACCCCCAAGCTTGTCGTGGTCACTTAGGGCAGGGGCTAGGGTGTCCCCACTCCAGGGTGCTCTCTCCGCACCGGACACTTCCCTGACTCACTGATCATTGCATATAGTTCAAGCAAACACAATTTATTAAACAGAAATAAATTTTTTTTAAAAAAAGGAAAAAATGGGAAAGGTTAAAGGAAAATACATCACCCCGCTCTGTGGTATGGGGACACCACAACCAGCCATCTCTGGAGGGTAAGGGCAGTTCAGTCTGTTTCTCACATGTCCCAGGCCTCCTGCCCAGGCCCTGGATGTGCTGCAGGGATGCTGAGGGTCGGACACTTGCTCTAGCGCAGGGCACACACCCTCAGGCTGTAGGTGGCAGAACCCTTCTTACCAGCATCAGCTCTCCCACCCCCTGTCAGGGTTATGATCCCCCTCCCAGTACCACCTGGAAGACCTCTTGGCTAGGGGGGGCATCTCCCTGCACTGGACCTACTGCCCAGTGTCCCCCTTGCTCTCCCCAGCTGCTCACCGCACCCGGCTCCAGACTGCTCCAGCCCCAGCTCCAGCTTCACTCTGCCTCAGTACTGCTGCTGCTCTGCCTCCTGCCCCCTGGGCTGCTTCTCTGGCCCCTCTGGCTCTGGTTGCTACACTTCTCCACCTAGCACAGGTCTGCTCTCTGGGCTGCTTCTGTGGCTCTGCTCCCATCACTGACCTGCTCCCTGGGCTGCTGCTTCTGATCATTGAGAAAGTCCTCAAGGAAACCATTTTAAAGCTCTTGGAGGAGAGGAAGGTGATCAGAAACAGTCAACATGGATTCACCAAGGGCAAGTCATGCCTGACCAATCTGCTGGCCTTCTATGATGAGATAACTGGTTCTCTGGATATGGGGAAAGCAGTGGATGTGATATATCTTGACTTTAGCAAAGCTTTTATTATGGTATCCCACAGTATTCTTGCCAGTAAGTTAAAAAAGTATGGATTGGATGAATGGACTATAAGGTGGATAGAAAGTTGGCTAGCTCATTGGGCAATGATCAATGGCTTGATATCTATTTGGCAGCTGGTATCAAGCGGAGTGCTCCAAGGGTCAGTCCTTGGGATGGTTTTGTTTTATAGACTATCAGGGTTAAAAGGAACCTCAGGAGGTCATCAAGTTCAACCCCTTGCTCAAAGCAGGACCAATCCCCAATTTTTGCCCCAGATCTCTAAATGGCCCCCTCAAGGATTGAACTCACAACCCTGGGTTTAGCAGGCCAATGCTCAAACCACTGAGCTATCCCTCCTCCCACATCTTTATTAATGATCTGGATGATGTGATAGATTGCACCCTCAGCAAGTTCATGGATGACACTAAGCTGTGGGGAGAGGTAGATACGCTGAAGGGTAGGCATAGGGTCCAGAGTGATCTAGGCAAATTGGAGGATTGAGCCAAAAGAAATCTGATGAGGTTCAACAAGGACAAGTGCAGAGTCCTGCACTTAGGACGGAAGAATCCCATGCACCGCTACAGACTGGAGACCGACTGGCTAAGCAGCAGTTCTGCAGAAAAGGACCTGGGGATTACAGTGGATGAGAAGCTGGATATGAGTCAGCAGTGTGCCCTTGTTGCCATGAAGGCTAATGGCATATTGGGCTGCATTGTCGGAGCATTGCCAGCAGATCGAGGGAAGTGATTGTTCCCCTCTATTCGGCACTGGTGGGGCCACATCTGGAGTACTGAGTCCAGTTTTGGGGCCCCCACTACAGAAAGGATGTGGACAAATTGGAGAGAGTCCAGCGGAGGGCAATGAAAATGATCAGGGTTCTGGGACACATGACTTTTGAGGAGAGGTTGAGGGAACTGGGCTTGTTTAGTCTGCAGAAGAGAAGAGTGGGGGGCGGGGGGTTAGCAGCCTTCAACTTCCTGAAGGGAGGTTCCAAAGAGGATGGAGCTTGGGTGTTCTTAGTGGTGGCAGATGACAGAACATGTAGCAATGGTCTCAAGTTGCAGTGGGGGAGGTTTAGGTTGGATATTAGGAAACACTATTTCACTAGGAGTGGGGTGAAGCACTGGAATAGGTTACCTAGGGAGGTGGTGGAATCTCCATCCTTAGAGGTTTTTAAGGCCTGGCTTGACAAAGCCCTGGCTCGGATGACTTAGTTGGTGTTCGTCCTGCTTTGGCAGGGGGTTCGACTAGATGACCTCCTGAAGTCTCTTCCAACCCTAATCTTCTATGATTGTATGATTCTCAGGTTTTCTGGCTGGCACAGCCCTACTCCCCAGCTCAGCTCAGGCCCCTGCTCTCTCCTTAGCTTGGCCCCACTCTGTTCCAGGCAATTCCAGCTCACACAGAGGATGGGACCCCCCCAACCCATGCCTCCTGACTCACTCATTGGCCTGCCCGCCCTGTCAATCAGGCTCATCTGGAGCATGGGCCTCTCCCCATTGCTCCTGGGGACTGTCAGTCTCAGGGTCCTGATTTCCCATTGACCCTTCCCCTTACTTTTAGTACTGGGAGCTAGCCAACCAAAAAAACTCCACTGAGTTTTAGTAAGGGACTAACAGTCCACTTACATATACACTGAAATGTAAGTACAATATTTATATTTCAATTAATTTAGTTGATAATTAAATGGTAAAATGAGGCAGTAGCAATGTTTCAGTACTACTGTGCTGTGACACTTTTGTATTTTTGTGTCTGATTTTGTAAGCAAGTAGTTTTTAAGTGAGGTGAAACTTGGGGGTATGCAAAACAAATCAGACTCCAGAAAGGTATAGTCTGGAAAGGTTGAGAGCCACTGGACTAAGGTTCGGGTTCAAGAAGGTAGGGGGCTCAGGTTAGGGTTCCAAGCCCCTCCTAGGCAGCTATTGCAGACTCAGATCCTCTATGGATCAGGTGCCCAGAGGGGTGCTGAATACTCATCGAACAGTGGGGTATAATAGCATTCCCAGGTAAGACAAAATTGCATGTTTCTCTTTCACCACTGTCTATAGGCAAAGTAATGGGCAGGTTAGTGACTCTGCTAGAGCTGTTGCAATGGTGCTTAACACATTTCAGGAGGGTCCTGGGAAATCCAGGACTCTGGAAAACTATTGTCTGGTCAGAGAAATGATAAGAACCAGAATGAATGAGAAGCTTTCAGACAGCAACACAAACAGGTTGATGTTTGCTAAGTAATGTCTGCTCTTCCTTTCCCTTTGCTAGATATAAGTGCTTACTACTGGTGGACTCTGTGGCATCATTAGGTGGAGCTCCCATCCTCATGGACCAACAGGGTAAGGAGCAAAGAACTCATCTTCTTAACTAGAGTATTCACCAGCACCATAAAATAAACAAGAAAGAATGTATGTGTGGATAGAAAGGTCCTCTCTACAGGGGAGGCTGGGGAAACGGTAACTGTGATTGTCTTAAAAACCAGAGCTCCTGGGCCATTCCAGATGGTGGTGGGGGGAGGATTACCAGAGGGTTCATCCTGAACCATATTCTCTAGAGTGATTTCTGTTGGGAGAAACTGGGTTTAGGGTAGTGATGAGATCTTCCACTGCAGGCGTTCCCCAAGCTATGGTTAAGCTTTCAGAGGGTAGTGCTGCCTATGCTAGGGTTAGGGAGTCCAAGGGCAGGACATGTCAGGGTAACATTAATGTCCCACATGGTAAGGCTATCTGGGCTAGAGGAATGATTCCAGAGGACAAGGGTCCCAAACTAGGGCTATGTTTCCATGCGTAGGCTTACCCAGGCTGGGGTTAAGGTTACAATGGAGAAGACTCTCGAAACTACGCTTAGGGAACCAAAGTGTGGGGCTCCTTGAGCTGTGGGTAGGCTTTCAAAGGATAAGACTCTGCAGGATAGGGTTGGTATACATAGAATCATACAATCATAGAATATCAGGATTGGAAGGCACCTCCAGGAGGTCATCTAGTCCAACCCCCAGCTCAAAGCAGGCACAATCCCCAAATAAATCACCCCAGCCAGGGCTTTGTCAAGCCTGACCTTAAAAACTTCAAAGGAAGGAGATTCCACCACCTCCCTAGGTAACGTATTCCAGTGTTTCACCACCCTCCTAGTGAGAAAGTTTTTCCTAATATCCAACCTAATCCTCCCCCACTGCAACTTGAGACCATTACTCCTCGTTCTGTCATCCACTACCACTGAGAGCAGTCTAGATCCATCCTCTTTGGAACCCCCTTTCAGGTAGTTGAAAGCAGCTATCAAATCCCCCCTCATTCTTTTCTTCCGCAGACTAAACAATCCCAGTTCCCTCAGCCTCTCCTCATAAGTCATGTGTTCCAGTCCCCTAATCATTTTTGTTGCCCTCCGCTGGACTCTCTCTCCAATTTTTCCACATCCTTCTTGTAGTGTGGGGCCCAAAACTGGACACAGTATTCCAGATGAGGCCTCACCAGTGTCGAATAGAGGGGAATGATCACGTCCCTCGATCTGCTGGCAGTGCCCCTACTTATACATCCCAAAATGCCATTGGCCTTCTTGGCAACAAGGGCACACTGCTGACTCATATCCAGCTTCTCATCCACTGTAACCCCTAGGTCCTTTTCCGCAGAACTGCCACCGAGCCATTGGGTCCCTAGTCTGTAGCGGTGCATGGGATTCTTCCGTCCTAAGTGCAGGACTCTGCACTTGTCCTTGTTGAACCTCATCAGATTTCTTTTGGCCCAATCCTCTAATTTGTCTAGGTCCCTCTGTATCCTATCCCTACCCTCCAGCGTATCTACCTCTCCTCCCAGTTTAGTGTCATCTGCAAACTTGCTGAGGGTGCAATCCATACCATCCTCCAGATTATTAAGGAAGATATTGAACAAAACTGGACCGAGGACCAACCCTTGGGGCACTCCATTTGATACCGGCTGCCAACTAGACATGGAGCCATTGATCACTACCCGTTGAGCCCGACAATATAGCCAATTTTCTACTTATAGTGCATTCATCCAGCCCATACTTCTTTAACTTACTGGCTAGAATACTGTGGGAGACCGTGTCAAAGCTTTGCTAAAGTCAAGGAACAACATGTCCACTGCTTTCCCCTCATCCACAGAGCCAGTTATCTCGTCATAGAAGGCAATTAGATTAGTCAGGCCTTGGTGAATCCATGCTGACTGTTCCTGATCACTTTCCTCTCCTCTAAGTGCTTCAGAATTGATTCTTTGAGGACCTGCTCCATGATTTTTCCAGGGACTGAGGTGAGGCTGACTGGCCTGTAGTTCCCAGGATCCTCCTCCTTCCCTTTTTTAAAGATGGGCACTTCATTAGCCTTTTTCCAGTTGTCCAGGACCTCACCCGATCACCATGAGTTTTCAAAGATAATGGCCAATGGCTCTGCAATCACATCCGCCAACTCCTTTAGCACTCTCGGATGCACCGCATCCGGCCCCATTGACTTTTGCTTGTACAGCTTTTCTAAATAGTCCCAAATCACTTCTTTCTTCACAGAGGGCTGGTCACCTCCTCCCCATGCTGTACTGCCCAGTGCAGCAGTCTGCGAGCTGACCTTGTTGTGAAGACAGAGGCAAAAAAAGCATTGAGTACATTAGCTTTTTCCACATCCTCTGTCACTAGGTTGCCTCCCTCATTCAGTAAGGGGCCCACACTTTCCTTGACTTTCTTCTTGTTGCTAACATACCTGAAGAAACCCTTCTTGTTACTCTTAACATCTCTTGCTAGCTGCACCTCCAGGTGTGACTTGGCCTTCCTGATTTCACTCCTGCATGCCTGAGCAATATTTATATACGCTTCCCTGGTCATTTGTCCAATCTTCCACTTCTTGTCAGCTTCTTCTTTGTGTTTAAGGTCAGCAAGGATTTCACTGTTAAGCTAAGCTGGTTGCCTGCCATATTTGCTATTCTTTCTACACATCAGAATGGTTTGTCCCTGTAACCTCAATAAGGATTCTTTAAAAACAAGCCAGCTCTCCTGGACTCCTTTCCCCCTCATGTTATTCTCCCAGGGGATCCTGCCCATCAGTTCCCTGAGGTTGTCAAAGTCTGCTTTTCTGAAGTCCAGGATCGGTATTCTGCTGCTCTCCTTTCTTCCCTGTGTCAGGATCCTGAAGTCGACCATCTCATGGTCACTGCCTCCCAGGTTCCCATCCACTTTTGCTTCCCCTACTAATTCTTCCCTGTTTGTGAGCAGCAGCTCAAGAAGAGCTCTGCCCCTAGTTGGTTCCTCCAGCACTTGCACCAGGAAATTGTCCCCTACACTTTCCAAAATCTTCCTGGATTGTCTGTGCACCGCTGTAGATATCAGGGTGATTGAAGTCTCCCATGAGAACCAGGGCCTACGATCTAGTAACTTCTGTTAGTTGCCAGAAGAAAGCCTCGTCCACCTCATCCTCCTGATCCGGTGGTCTATAGCAGGCTCCCACCATGGCATCACCCTTGTTGCGCACGCTTCTAAACTTAATCCAGAGACACTCAGGTTTTTCTGCAGTTTCATACCGGAGCTCTGAGCAGTCATACTGCTCTCTTACATGCAGTGCAACTCCCCGACCTTTTCTGCCCTGCCTGTCCTTCCTGAACAGTTTATATCCACCCCTCACAGTACTCCAGTCATGTGAGTTATTCCACCAAGGCTCTGTTATTCCAATCACATCATAATTCCTTGACTGTGCCAGGACTTCCAGTTCTCCCTGCTTGTTTCCCAGGCTTCTTGAATTTGTGTATAGGCACTTGAGATAACTGGCTGTTTGTCCTGCTTTCTTAGTATGAGGCAGGAGCCCTCCCCTATTGCGTTCTCCTGCTCGTGCTTCCTCCTGGTATCCCACGTCCCCACTTATCTCAGGGCTTTGGTCTCCTTCCTTCCTGTGAACCTAGTTTAAAGCCCTCCTCACTAGGTTAGCCAGCCTGCTTCCGAAGATGCTCTTCCCTCTCTTCGTTAGGTTGAGCCTGTCTCTCCCTAGCACTCCTCCTTCTTGCAACACCATCCCATGGTCAAAAAATCCAAAGCCTTCTCTCCGACACCACCTACATAGCCATTCGTTGACTTCCACGATTCGACAGTCTCTACCCAGGCCTTTTTCTTCTACGGGGAGGATGGACGAAAACACCACTTGCGCCTCAAACTCCTTTATCCTTTTTCTCAGAGCCACATATTCTGAAGTGATCCGCTCAAGGTCATTCTTGGCAGTATCATTGGTGCTCACATGGAGAAGTAGGAAGGGGTAGCGATCCGAGGGCTTGATGAGTCTCGGTAGTCTCTCTGTCACATCGTGAATCCTAGCTCCTGGCAAGCAGCAGACTTCTTGGTTTTCCTGGTCGGGGCGGCAGATAGATGACTCAGTCCCCCTGAGGAGAGAGTCTCTGACCACCACCGCCCGCCTCCTCCTCTTGGGACCGGTGGTCATGGAACCCCCATCCCTAGGACAGTGCATCTCATGCCTTTCAATCGGCGGAGTCTCCTTCTGTTCCCTTCCCTCAGATGTATCATCTAGTCCACTCTCCGCATTAGTACCTGTGGAGAGAACATGAAAACAGTTGCTTACCTGTATCTGTGCTGCTGGTACATGGACGCTCCCCTTTCTTCTTCTGGAGGTCACATGCTACCAAATTTCTTCACCGTCCTCCTGTCCCCGCTGCGCAGCCTGCTCTGCATCTTCAGAACTTTGTGACTGTAGAAGCATATCCTGACATCTGTCCAGGAAATCTTCAGCTTCTCTTATGCAAAGCAGGGTCGATACTTCTTTTTCCAGACTTGAACCTTCTCTTCCAATATGGAGACCAGCTTGCACTTTGTACAGACAAAGTCGCTTCTGTCCTGTGGAAGAAAGACAAACATGGCACATCCAGTGCAGGTCACAACAGCTGAACGCTCCCCATCCATATTACCTGCCTTCTACGAGCTTCCTCAGGAGTTGTAGTAACTACTCAGAGAAGCCGGCAAGATGTAAGCCTCAGTGGGCTCTCCCCGGGTGAACTCCCTGGCAAACTCCCTCTGTTAGCCTCTCTGCTGTTTGCTACTCAGCTGGCTCACAGCTGACTGGCTTTTTATAACAGTCAGGCCCACTCAAAGCTCACCTGGAAGAAAGCACTCCCAATTCACACTTTTCAAACAAACAACCAATCAAGCACACGGTCAAACTGTCCCCACAACAGACACTCAGATACTCAGCAACATAGCCTCCTTAATGTAGCCCTTAGCGTACCTCCTTTCAGACAGATCCCAGGCAAACTCCCTCTGTTAGCCTCTCTGCTGTTCACCGCCACTTCGGGCTGCACAGGCTAGGGTTAACTTTCCAAAGGGTAGGGCTCCCTGGCCTAGGGTTCAG